GCAAAAATGGATTATTAAAATCTTATTTAATGAACCGTACAATAACCTACACAACGAATTTTAACTGATTTTAGAATGATGACCAGAAAAAAATTTGTGTTTGTTATGATTATTCATTTGCGTAAAAAAGTGAATAAGGCTAAAACTGATGGATCGTGATTAGAATACCAGGTATGATTTTATTTCGATTAGTGTTCCAAAAATGTACAAAAGCATTGCTTCCAAAATGTATGGTACTACAACCAGACATTTCAAACTCGCAAATTCTATTTTTGTATCAAATACAAAATCAAAATTAGATATTAAAATAGATTGATATATGAAACAGTTGAAATATGAATTATAATATAAATTCCGCTCGTCCATTTTGAATGCAGAGAAAACTGGATGGTTTTGATTCAGTTCAGTAAGTATAGATTCTCATATTGAAATTGAATGTGTAACGGGGTCAAAAACAATTCTAGATGTAACCAAAACTAAATATTTACTGTATATTATATTACTAGGCTTTGTCTTCATTTTCTATGTTTATTCGCGTTTTTTACTGAATCATTTTCTATGTTTGTATATTTCCTTATATTCGTCATTGTTCTTTCTTTATATTGTTATTATTTTCCCTATTGTATAATGAATAAATATCATCATTATCATTTTTTTTATATAAATCTCTCGAGGAACACTCTACAATATATATTATGTTGAGAATTTGCGATAGAAAAGTTCGAACACAAAACCAAAGAACCAAACAATTCAAGGCCACCAACCGTTCTGAGAAACAGACCAACCTCCCACGTATTTTCAATATATTTTAAATTAGAACCAGGAATTAATTTCGTTTAGGATGTTCAGACGAGTGATGATGTCTGTGACATCATATTCTACGTGTACAAGTTACGTTTTCATTCATACGTACTGTACGGATTGCCCGATGATGTCATTAATTTAATTTGGTCAGGACCGGACTTGGCCATATGTTTTTAACGAGTTGGTAACCATTTGAATCGCCAAACAATCAAAACTTCGCTATTTTTTTCAACTCAACTCAAGTGTATTTCAAAGTGTATTGGTTTTTTCGTAAAATATTCCAATTAGCCCTGTTACAATACAAAATAGATAGTCATTTCGTTGTTTGACATTAAAAAAGAAAATAGGTTTTATCGATGATATCCTGAATAATACAAGTAACGATTCGAACCAGTTTTTGAGCTTTATAATGATGAATGACGGTGACTGCATCAACAGAAGCACAAGATAGCATGAATGATTTTGGGAAGAATTTCTCTAGTGTATATACTGTGCCTGATTTCGACTCAGCTGACTGTTTACTTGAAAAAACTCAGTGATTTATTAATTATGGGCCCAGACCAAATACCGAGCTTCCTAGTTAGGAATTATATTATTATATTGTCACAAGTCTCAGTTTAAATGTTTTTTATGTGATACGGTACTCAAAAAGGGCTACAACACAAATAACAATTTGTGGTCGAAACAGTCCTAGTTCAGTTGAACCTTAGTTATGGGCGAGTACCGTTACTGATTCAAATAGGCTAGGTTGGTATTGCCTATGTTGCATAAAACCATGCTGATTTGCAGTTAGATTACAGAAGAAATGTCCTACGATAACTAATAGGTCTTCTTACAGTATACTTTCTTCTGAATTATCATATGAAGGGAGTTGAATATATGTAGTAGTAGCATGTATGGAGTTGTGAATTGGTTCATATCCGACATTTCTGATGTCCAGAACGTCTAGAGTTTATGCCTATAGTACCGTGCCATACCAAACATACCAAATTCTCACCGCAAACTGCGTCAAGTAGCCAAAAAAACAACTTCCTGTCACATTCATTCGCTAAATCCATTCGCACGTCACCGTACAATCCGAGTTGCGGTTACGGATCTGAACAAAGACTCGCTCTCATCTTGGAGAAAGGTCGCCCGACATCCCGTCTGACATATGTCATATCTTGTAATAACGCAGATAAGACGGGAACGTGACTCTAGATAAACTTAGCCACTCGGACGAGAAATATCAGTCGATTTCGGGTCTTACTTGTGAAGCGTGATAAGTTTGAAGTCTCAACGTGAACGTTTATCGCGATAATTGTGTTTGTTTCAAAAAGTGCTGCGTAATCAGCTGTTTTCGATGGTGCTGGTGTCACCCACAAGATGTGATAGGATATTCAACATGATGGTATTGATTTTTATCCAATATGGAATGTTTGTGGAAATATTTTCTTTGTTTGCTTTTATTCTGTGCCATGAAAGTGAAATTTGTTTTTCTCGGCAAGGGAACAATGAGTGATATCTTGTTTATCATTTGTTTCAATCCAAAGTCTGTTGATTTCGGAACAAGGAAAACTGCGAAATTTATCAGTATCAGTAAGGTCGACTCTTTCAGTTGTATTGCCAATTGCATATGCAGGAAGTTTTCTGTGAAGATTCCTGCACTGACGCCTGTCGGATATTATCCAACGCCGTTCGTGGTATTAGCCAGTGGAGTAGTTGTTTTCTGATAGGTATCAGTCCATTCGACCTACTGTGTGGGTATATCCGAGACTGGCTTGAACATTGGTTTGTTTACTGCCAGTTTTCAAGCATAGCCCCTTGACTAATAACAAAATAAACAAGTTTAATTTTCAAATATTTCAATAATGCTCGCCAGAGGGACCTTTAGAAAGGATAATTTCGCTCTGTTACCGACATCCTTAGTTATAAATTCTACAATCTTCATTCAAAGATTTCCCGGTCCTTTTTTATTGTCCAAATTTAAGATTAATCACATAATCATTAGTTTTCTTCAACAATCCTATGCTTCACTTTCTTAGCAGAAATTTTATTGGTATATGCTTTTTGTATCAGATATTTATAATTCTCTAATCGGTTAATCCTCCATCGATTAGACAGTATTATCTCATCAAATTCTGGGAAAAGTCACACTTTACTAATTTTTATTACTTGTAGTGCGTGTTCTAAAAATTATTTTCACGTGTAATGGATAATCAAATATTTAAGATTATATGCACGAATTACAACAATATGGAATGAATACGTATCTGCGTCTTTGTTTGCAAAGGGTCTTACAATCTAGTTAACCGATAACCCTAGAATCATTACGGATCAGGACTGCCCATACTTTCAGTATTGCCAAATTGATTTTCCTCCAATGACGTCACCACAAATACCTCTGTTTAAAGTCTCTTCATACTTACCCTGCTTTTTTTCTTCAAACGCTTCGTTTTTCGGTTGTTTCTTAACAATATAAAGCCATAATAAATACTATTTATATTTCAATTTATCGTGAATGAACGCTTTGGAAAACTTCGCCTTCTAGACGTAATCGTGACAGATTGAATAACCTCGGGAATGCAGCAGAAGGCACGAGTTCTTTGTTCCTCCTCAAATGGCTGTAATAAAACCATCACGTTCCAATTTTACATTTGCGGATGTCCGGTGCAACGTGGCTCCAGCCTTTCAGTCTTTAATGTTTTCTTTATCAGTATTAATTAATCTTAATGGCTTGCAAGATCGCAATTGTGAGTTTAGTTTCAGTTCGGTTCGACCTGACTGTGGAGTATAAGAATTCAATCGTTTCGATTTTAGGGTTAAATTTCATGCTGGCAGGCTAGAAAATGTACACTTTTTTGGTTTACCTGACTTTTTTTTAACTATAAGACAATTTGTTAGCTCAACTTGGCTCAAATCGTGAATTACTTGGTGTGAACTGGGGCCTACTAAGTCATAGACTTTGTAACTAATTTATGGACTGACCTTCAAAGAAGAAGATTGGGAACTACCTTATTGGAAGAGGATGGATCACTTTAAATTAGTCGTTATTGTTAGTGTATTAGTTGCATTCAAATTTCCCTGCTAATTGTGGCCTAAAGAAAGAAGATTTTAAAAAATGAAATAATTTAAATCGTATATTACTCCATCCTTCCCAGTTTCTTTTTCTATAACGTATTCCAGAAGGTATCAAATCGCTAAGTGACGAGCTGTTTCGTAAGTTATGAAGTCTATGGTCTAAGTACGTTCATATTGTATATTTGAAAAATGGCATAATGTCTGAAAATTTTAAATGAATATGAATATTTTTCTTTAGAATCAACATCCTATAGATTCTGATAATTCTACTAGTACTAGTACTAGCTATTCATTTTCCAAGAAACGTGTAACGTTCAGAGAAATTAACTGATAAATGATTATGTCAACGATAAAAAATACATTGAATATAAATCATTAAATCATTAAGGTATTATACATATTTACTTCAATAGAAATGTAAATTTTTTCCAAATATGTTTTAGTTTTCATTATTGGAGCATCTGGTTGCATAAATATACTTGTCCAAACCAGTCTATGAGTAGGTAGTCTAGACAAGAATAATTCAAGAACAGGTCACCATTAATGTGACGTATGGCAAGTCTAAACAGCGCTGTCTGGTATTGGATCACAAATTTTTCGTTGAAACCATATCTGAAGTCTTCTGGATAGATAATATATTCATGTTATTTCTTGCTCATATGGGTTTACCTTTGTCTCACCTATGTGTATGTTTTGATATATATTTTACCTTATTTAAGCTAAATAGATTTTTAATATTTACTTTGGAATTTATAACCTTTGTTTTTTCTTACCAATGTATACTAGGTAATTATTTTTATATTTCTATATAAAACATGCTATCCCCCAGCCTCGCCCTTTCATTGATTTTTGTATTTACTTCTTTTTTATAAACAATGTATGTCAATGAATAAAGCCCATTTATTATTATTATTATATATTATTAATATTGATATGTCATGTACAAGCAGGTTAGAAAAAAGCGGTCTAAGTTTAGATCCCTGAGGAATGCGATTAATATCAGTTTCGAGTGCATTTTTCCACCTCAGAAGCAATTTAATTGTTCGCAAGGTTATCTTGATGATTATGACTTTTTGTATAACTCCGTGAATAAACAAGTTTTATAACGATTTCATGATTTTTGTTTTGTTTTTCAGATGGCGAGCGAATCTCCCACGGATCTCAACGCTAATGGAAATGAACCTACGATTCAGACTATTATAAAAAACCCAAGGACGAATGTAACCACAACTTCGGTGAGCAGAGCTATTTTAATTTCATTCTGTTTATTTATAAACTTCGATGCATCACTGTTTTCTTACGCTAATAATCAAAAGTACCGACATTTATCGGTAACATGTCCTTTGACGATCAATATTATCGCTTCCGAAGTGAATTCGAAACTTTGTAAAGTCTGCTGACTTAATAGTTGAGGAACAAAAATTTTGTGTAAGCTAATTATTTTTAAAATTTGAAAATTTCAAAATGTGAGAAATAAGTGAATCTGGATTCACAAGTGTTCAGCTCAGTTCAGCTCTACCGAATATAGTGCTTCTTTCGGTGTTCCACAAGCTTCAAATCTGGGACCGCTGCTCTTCAATATCTTCCTTGACGATATTGCAGATGTTATAGATGTTTATTTCCTTTTGTATGCTGGTGATCTAAAACTATACTGCCTAGTTGAGAACATAGATGACTCTGTGAACCTCTCAGCAAACTTAGGACGGGTTGTAGAATGGTTTTATCGAAATGACTTGTCGCTAAATCCGGATAAATGTAAGGTCATGTCCTACAGTTTAAAAACGAACATCTTGATCTTAGATTATTCAATAGAAAACGTTATTGGCATCACATTTGACACTGCACTATCATTTGATAGGCATATCGATAATGTTTTAACCTCCTCCTGTCGTTTGTACGGATTAATTGCACCTAACAGTAGTGATTTCAAAGAAACTTGGACCTTAAAAACTCTATTCTATGCTTTCATTAGATCAAAGTTAGAATATGCGTCAGTTGTGTGGAACCCCTTTTATCAATATCACATAGATAGGCTGCTAAGCCTAAAAACTGATGGCATTTATCCTTCAATAGGAACAACCCACTCTGAATTGATACAAAGGCATAACTTTTTCAGTCTCGAAAAAAGGCGTGAACATTATTGTGTTGTACTAAACTATAAAATTATCAAAAGCATAGTTGACTGCCCAACATTACTGGAAAAGTTTAATATCTGCATTCCTAATATCTGTTCCAAACACTCGAGTACTCTCTATATAAAAACATCCCGCACAAATGTTATGGAGAATTCTCCGATCCATACCATGTGTAAAGTGAAAAACTCTTTTAGCGATAATTTAGATATATTTAGTTGCAAACTGTCAAATATAAAATCCCATTTCCTAAAATAATTAAATAATTGTTTTGTCACCTATTTGTAGTCTTTATAGTCACTTGTTTATATTGTTTGTTGTGTTTGTAGACTTTACAGTCACTTGTTGTGATGTATTTATTATACTCTGTTAGTTCCTGCTCTGTAATTGGGCTATGTCCTGTAGAGTATTGTATTACAAATAAATAAATAAAATAAATAAATAAAGAAAGGGAAAAAGAGAGAGAGGGAGAGACAGAGAAAGAAAGACAAAAAGAGAAACAGAGAGAGAGGGAGAGAAAGAGAGACAACTAAAAGATTCATATTGAAAAGTTACTGCATAATATAAATTTGAGATGATAAAACTCCGATTAGTCAATAATTTGGCGTATTCGGCAAGACCACGAGATTTGTTAATTAGATCGTCAAACTCAAGAAAAATATTAGATTCACGTCAGCTCCTCATAATGGCTTTCAAACCATGTGTATTGTTCAATGAGCCATAACAACTTTGTTGTCAATATCTGGAACAGCAAAGAAATGAAAAAGCATAGTGGAAACCGGCAAATTTATGTGTGTTTTCAATGAACACTTCGACAAAACTGACTTTACTTCAAGTACATGCATGTGTACTGTATGTGCATGTATTAGCAATGGGGAATGTTCCTCAATTTGGGTTATTACAGCAAATGCAAGTTTGAACAAAATAAAGTTGAGTTTAATTCATGAGTTTTTCAAATTCACTTCGAAAAGTATTCAAATTGATGTTTCAAATGTTGGGAATTTGTTTCTAATTCACATATTAGCCACAGCGCTTATATCAAGTTGAAATAATTTATACGTGCCTAGATATTCTACTTTAAAAAAGGAAAATTATCTTCATAAATCAACAATTAAGGCAAAATATAAATTATAGTTCAATACCACCTCCACAAGCCACATAAACAACAGTTGTTTTGTTATTTATTTATATAGAGGAAGATAGGTTAGGTGCACAAAATGTCATATGTCACAGAATGTCTCGGAACTTGGAACATAAGTAAACAGAACAGCACGCCTCTGTCATCTGTCATCTTTGTTTGTCTCATACAGGTAACAGATTCATTGTCCTTTATTAGCTATAACCGATGTTGCCAAATGGTGAAATAGAAACAAATCCTTTTAAATTTTGAATGCATTATTTCATTCCTCTGTTTTAAATAATTTTTTAAAGAGAAAGGTTGAAATGATATGTTCAAAATGCGTTGTTTTAGAGCTCTTTTATGAAAACTACTTGATTTTCTTCAGGAGGAACATTCCCCATTATGTAACCCAATAATATTCTAGGCCATGAAGTAAGAAGTTGAAAAAAACACTGAAAAAAGTAATATCTCAAAGCATCATCAACCGTTTATATAGTTTCTTATAACAAAGTATTAAAAGCTCATTATAACGAACAGAACTGCACTTCCATTCAACTACACACGTGTAACCTCACTTTTCTCATCGCCAAATTCTCTAGTCACACAAAATCACATAATGGACCATGAAACTGCTTCGCTTTCTCTCAGATTAGAGTATTATTATTTGTGGCTTCTAGAAAAATATTCTTCCATTCATTATTAACACCAATTACAGCCGCTGATAATTTCTGTCTGAAAATTCCCTGGCAAAGAGTAAATTTGTGCAAGTTTTTGGATTAATTTCTATTCGACAATTGGCGAAAGAATGGGTTTAAAAGCCCCAAAAGTAAATATTTATCGACGGTCCCCATAAACACTAATCTATTGACCATACTGTCTGCTAAGTACGGGCCAACGTGGGAAAAACTGAAGAAATCAGGAAAAAGTTGTCCATTTCAAAACTTATTCGAAGGACGTTTTGAAATTTAGAAAAGTCCGATTTATTCCGGAAATATTTGAAAAAAAAAACGAAATTCGCAGGTTTAGTTTCAATTTTTCTCTGCCATTTTTCAAGGAGGTATTGAGAACGGAAACAGTTTCCCATTTCTACTTTTGAAGATGTTCAAGATGGCTTTTATAGATTTCCAGTCCACGTTTTGTCTCCGAAAAACCATCCTAAATTGTTATTGATTTCTATACATTATAAAAAAGAATCATCTGTTATAAGTTTACTGATGTAACATTTATCATTGGAATTTCTCAAACTTTGAAACGGCATTGAAATAAGCTCTGAAGTGAGTAACTTTTTTCTAATTTAACCGACATTGTCCTATGATTTCCTAATTTCCAAACTGGCACTCCTTATGTTGGACACAGAATAAACCACCAATTTTTAGATGCACTTTCAGAAGTTTATTGTGAAACCACTATCAATTGGCACCTTTTTTATTAACTTTCAAATACGAATTACCCCTGTAATAGTTTCTACAAACAGTTTCAGTTGAAACTTTTCATCTTATTCTTTTCATTTTGAACTGGGTATTCTTTATTATTCACTTAGGAAGAAGTAAACCTCCCAAAAATACTTTTTCTCATGTTCCCTTCATATTATATGGTTGCTAGGTTGCCGAATTGTAGATATTGAGGTTGGTAATATAAAATAATTGACAATGTGATTTCTGCCACTACAGATATTCTAGCTTACATTGACTCTACGTAGAGTTACAAGAAATGTTTTCCAGTACCTTTGGATCCTATTACTATACAGATATTACAAACATATTTTCACTCCCACACGTTTTTTACTCTTGATGTTTCTTAAACCGAAAGTTTAATGAAATTTATGCCTTTCCTACATAGTGTAAGCGAATAAATACCAACTATACAATAATGTATGGGTGTTTAGTTAATGAAACTGAATAATAGCACTCACTATTCGTATGTTACATTGGAATTAGGTCGCTAGTTTTAAACAAATGCATTTTATGTTCTCAGTCAATAATTTTCAACGGTCAAGTAAATAAATTACGTTTTAAACATTCATTCGTTTTGCTGAAGTAGGAATCCGTAATCAGGCGGTCTCATCTTGAAACTAATCTTTTTTCGTTCGGTATATTAATTAATTCGCAAGGTCGGAATTTATAGTTTCAAAGAATGCTCTATGTTTTTTCAATAAATATTTACTAGATGTGCACGAAAGATTAAACTCATACGCGATTTGTTTTTATCAGACTCATGAGAGTTTGCTTTATTCATGTTTGTTCCTATCAAAATAGTTCAGGTGTGTTATAAATGAATAATTGTTTTGTTTTTCGATTTATCTTTTAACTTTTCCATTGGGCGTACGATTCTGCTCTATTTGTTCTTTGTTAAACGGTTTCAAAATAGCAGAAATTTCCATAGCGAAATCATGATATTTAAGAAAAATTGCAGATGTTATTCTGGTTTTTATCTCATCTAAACAATCATTTATTACCGAATAATGAATTCGTGACATAATTTAATAATTCCAATGTCATATAAATAGCCCCTTCTTACTTATTGATAATATTATCATTGCATTTTTCCGTGAGTCAATATTTATTGAAAAGGTACACGCGTTCTATAGTCATATGTAAAACATAACATACAGAGTGGTCCAACGAAAAGTATGCACCTTGCTTTTCTCCTTTCTTTGTAACTTAACGCAAAAATGCTCAGACAGGTCAATTTTGCTTTTGAGAGGGACACATTTTAGATGTATTTTTCTACCTGTACCTTCAATTCCCTAGCGAGGGTGAGTAACAACCCTAAAATTTTAAATGGAAAGTGGGGTCGAGTGATATATCATTAGAAAGGGCACAAAATTATCTTTCGAATGATATCTGATTTGTTGTATTTCACTCAAACATGTAGGTATTATGAAGAAAAACAACTGCAACCCAGTACTTCGAAATGTGTAATTGACTTAGTAGAATCCTACTTCAGCAAGTGCTGAAAATGTGAGCCATTTGCTTCCATACAATGATACAGATTTTGTTCAAATCTATTCCTAACATTATGTAGCATGTCAGCTGTTATACTTCTGCACTCTGCTGTAATTCGTTGGCGAAGATCTTCTATGGACTCGATCTGCGTAGCAAAACATTTATTTTTCAAGTGTCCCCAAAGGAAAAAGTCTAAAGGCGATAAATCAGGTGACCTGGCAGGACATTCGATGAGGCCTCTCCTTCCAATACACCGTCCAGGAAACCGGTCATCTAAAAATTCTCTTACCGGAGCAACATAGTGAGGAGGTGCTCCATCTTGCTGGAAATGAAGCCGATCATCGTTATGATTTAAGTTATTTTCAATTATTTCTGTTATGAGAGGATCAATTGTATCTTCAAGCATGTTCAGGTAGACCTCACCAGTTAAATTCCCAGGAATAAAAAGTGGCCTACGATATGACTACCTAATATGCCACACCCGACATTGATTTTTTGAGGGTACTGGGTATGGACCTCTCGGAATAAGTGTGGGTTACTGTCATCCCACTAACGGCAATTATGCCAATTCACAGCTCCATTAAAAAAAAAAGTACTCTCATCGGAAAAGCACGTGTTGAATGATAGGTGCGGATCATCAATTAGTAGCTGGCTCAGTTGTTCACGAAATTGCAGCCTTCTATCAGGATCATTTTCATCGAGTTCCTGTACTATTTTAATTTTGTGCGGATGAAATTTATAGGCTTTTAATATCCGTATTATGGACGAACGGGAGACACCTGAGGCTGCAGCAAGCTGACGGGTACTTTGAGTATGATCCAATTCAACATGTCCCAAAACAGCGACTTCCACTGCTTCATTTCTGATCGGTTTCCGTGGCTGGTGTTTCACATTACAGACATATCCGGTATCGACAAACTTTTGGACTAACTTGGCAACGTACAAATCATTCACATTTTTCCCAGGATGACTGTTATTAAAGAGGCGAGCAGTAAGGCTAGCACAACTATTATGTTGATAATAAAGTTCAAAAATTTCAATTCGTTCAGGAATGGAATAAACCATTTTTACAGTAAAGTTGAAATAATTTCAAAAGCAACCGAACTGAATCAATGAACGTTTGCCTAAATTCTTTTTGTACACTTATCTGCTGTTGTTATTTGAACCAAAAAACGCACGAGAGAAATTGAGGAATGTAGTAGTGATAAAAATGCCGTTTTTTCCGCATTTTCATTAACACCAAATCGTTGGAAAGAGAATTTTGTGCCCTTTCAAATGATATATCACTCGATCCCACTTTCCATTTGAAATTTTAGGGTTGTTACTCACCCTCGCTAGGGGGTTGAAGGTACAGGTAGAAAAATACATCTAAAATGTGCCCCCCTCAAAAGCAAAATTGACCTGTCCGAGCATTTTTGCGTTAAGTTAAAAAAAAGAGAGAAGCAAAGTGCATACTTTTCGTTGGACCACTCGATATATATGTACAACACTCTTTTTCTAAAGAATAAAATTTTTCAGATTAGCTCAATCTGTTGACAAATATGGATCTTGAAATCATCTAGGCCATTGAAATTTTCGCTAGACCAATCTTCTGAAGATTTTAGTACTGGAGTTGATTTAGGAACAGCTGAAACTTCCGACATCAATGGATAAAATTTGCTTTCTTGCAAAAATCCTACAAAAATGTAATCAAAAAAACCATAAACTTTGCAATAACTCTCAGTTCATCTGAGTTTACATTAGTTCCAAATGGATTCAATCTCCAGCAATTCAAATCCAATGTGAATCGCCTTAAGGATTTTTATGTAGAGCTTGTGATTTGTCCTTGAAAAAAATTTCGACATTTGGGGTACATACCGTCATAAATGTGGCCCTTCAAGCATTTCGGGCATCGTAGGTAGCTCCTAAGAACCGAAAACAAAAATTTTGATTATTGGAAAACCTTCCAAAAGTATGTTCATTGTTAGAAACTGACGTAGTTTGTAAAGATTAGATAAAAGTCGAGATTACCCCAGAATCAACAAGATTAATATGGAGAGGAAATAATGGTTTATGTTTACATTGTATTATCAATTTCTATACCGCACATTTGGAAAAATACAAACATTGCAATTTTAGGTTGATCTGAATTTTATTACCGGGATGGAATGTTAAAGAGTTCACATAATATTCGAACCAACTTGCTTCAAACTAATGATAGTTATAGAAATCTGTCACCAATAATTTCTTTATTAAATATTGAACTAATGTATTTGTCGACTGATACTAATCTATCAATCAATGATTACACATAATAATATCTCTCCCTGAATTTTTAACTGTGTGATCTCAGCTTATTCGACGGATATACATTTCATCGTAACTCTCAACTCACGGGAATTTTACGTTTCACTTTAAATTTTATGTGACTGGATGAAATTGGCATCCAACACAAGCAAGCGTAATAAATAACAAACAGTCGCTTCAGATCACCTGAATTTCAGTGTCGTACGCCAAAGTGATAGAAATAGGTACGACTGAATAATGTTTTCTGCGAGATATTATAAAAATTGTATATTTTATAGCAGAGGTTAGTGTTTGAAAAAGTATTTCCCCAACATAAAACTTACTTACAACTCAATTATTCATTGTAACACTGAAAAAACTAAGTTTTATAATGCTAATCCTCTTTTTGAAAGGTTTTCAAAACATTCAAGATGTCAGTTACTATTTCAGATATCTTAATGTTAATTAGGGAGGTAGTAAAGTGTATTGTGTTGGCAACTCTGATAGTCAGAGTGTTACAGAGGTAAATGTTGGTTTATCCAAATTTTTTCTTCAGATCAGTCCTGATTGAAGAAGCTACTGTGTATCAAACCACATGTCTCGATTTTTCAAACCTGTCGGTTGTGAAAATCACAGTAAACTGTTATGTTCTCTCTTACTTTCTATTGAAGTTCTCTTGGTGTTTGTGTATTGCTATGGCTTTTAAATACATTCTTATTGAATAATGAATCGACGTTGCTAACTTCTCGGTATTTTCGAACAGGATCTAGTGTTTCATTCAATGATTCACAGGTGTTCCTCATTATTACTTCAACTTCTCTAGCCCTCAAGACCAGAAGCATTCACAAAGTTATGGATGGTTGTAGATACGTTTGTCAGTCCAAAAGGTATCCATAGCACTCATAATTATTGTACTAGACGAAGGGGAAGGAGTATTTTTGAGGCCAAACGGCATTCGAATAAATTCCTCTAACCATGTTTTCGTTTTTGTGTGAAGATCAAAGTCCCACAGTTTCATAAATAAATAATCTCGTCGACCTTTGACCTGTTTCATCTACGCCTCTGGCAGTTTCCCCGTGAACCGTTGCCATTGGCCTAGTTCCAGCGCTTCGCGAAACCGCTTATAATTAGAACAATAAGAATCACCGTCTCGAAAATACGCCAATGTCTCATTCGATCTTTTTTATATAAGTTGCAGACCAACTCTCAAAGCAGTACTACGACGACCAGAGTTAGCAAATCGACGACCAGCTCGACGTCGACGAGTCAGCGTCGGCACGTCACCTCCGATCTGAAGGCGTCTAACATGAAATCCGATTTGGTCGAATTGAAGAACAACCTCAACGACATGAAGAACAGCCTGCCGAACACGCTCATCAAGTTCAAGAGTTCGCTGGAGAACCTGGTGGACGCAGACGACGAGATGAGCAACATGACGTACAGTAGTCCGATTGTGACGTTTCCTGAAGATAACACGCCGTTGCCTTCCGAAATGGGGTCGCCCACCAACATCGTCGATTCGCTCAAGTTCGAGCAGAAAACGATGAATAACTTCAAGAAAACTATGGTGAGTACCGGTTTTGTGTAATATATATGTACAATAGAAATCTAATAGCCTGTCGAAAACTTTCGACTCAGTCAATACTCATATTACAATTAATAAACTAAGTGAACTGGGTTTCTGTGGCAAATTTCTTTCGTGGCTGGCTTCATATCTTGAGGTCAGAAAAATTATTGTATGAATTGACAATTAGAGATCTCTCCCACATGAGGTGGAGGCTGGTGTACCTCAAGGATCGATTCTTGGTCCGCTAATTTTTCTACTATATTTAAATGATCTTCCCAAATACGTCAGGACTAAACACCTAATTATATATACTGAAGATACCACTTTAGCAACGGAAGCAGAAACGTTTGAAAAGCTCATTGCAAAAATGAATATACTGGCAAAGGAATTTACTACGTGGTGTGGGAGAAATTCTATGATGGTGAATTCTGCTAAAACAGTTTGTATGCACTTTCTCACCAGAAATGAAATATCTGAAAATAGTAGAATCTCAGTAAATAATAGTGAAGTCCCTTTCGCGAAATCCACCAAATTTCTAGGAGCATTTGTGGGATGGAATAACAATGAAAACTTAAGAATTGTCTATGTAATGAGTGTTACTATGACATATTAGAATTCTTGAGCAAAAAGATAACGTGAGTTATGACTCTCGGATGCCCTGGTTATTATTATAACCTTTAAAAAATCCAATATTATCATTTCATCTGTTTTCATGTATACATTATGTCTGTGACTGTTCCAATATCATGTAAATATGATCTGACTGGAATAAAAATTATTATTATTATTAGTTTGATGATAAATTCTTAAAGGAAGAGTGGTAGAGATGAAATACAATTTGTTAATAGTTCCTTCATTATGACAAAACAAATTTTCAACCAAAACAGTTGAAAGAATTGAACGAAAGTCATTTTTTGTGGAGGATAATCAGTTTTTATTGACCTTATACAGATGTAGAAAGGGCAAACTTTTTAGTTTACCGCGATGAGTTACTGCGTGAAATCAAAGTATTTTTCACAAAAAAATATATATAGTTGTTCTACGAACAAATTTTATCCCTTTTCATTTACAAATTAGTCGGTGCGACACTGTCATAATTGAAGATAATTATTGTCGGCATATTCAATTTAAAAAAGTACCACAAAAATCTCGTAAACACCAATCTTCCTATTAAACCTTGAAGACGTATATTTTATTGTTATTATACGAGATAGCAGGAAACACGTGGTAATGCAGACGTTAATTATCCTAATAATCAAGGAAGCGGTATAGAAATCTTTATATAGTTGTGGCATAGGATGAGTGAAATAAAAACTACTTTAACAAGATTATTTTGTGAGATAGAATTGAAACCTTTGGTGTTAAATGAATCTAACAATGAACTTCATCAAGACTGATGTGTAGGCCTTCACGGGCGGTGTCTAACAAATTGGCCGATATTACCGGTGGTCTGCAGGTTTTTATACATGACGTTTCGTCTGCTACTGCGGTATACTGCTATAGTGGCAACTTTTTTGTCGCTATAGTTGCCGCTGTGGCAACTTGTTTTGCCGCATTTTTTGTCCATGTTGGCACCTGATAGTATAACGAGTTCTTTCTGTTTTTACATTCTGCTCCTTCACTAAGAAACTCGGGTAGTCCACATAAGCTACTACTTGAATTGTTGATGATTGAGATGGAGCACTGTTTTACTTGTTTTGGATCCATTCTTCACCAGAGGTTTATGTTTTACTTTTAATGATTACTGGCGTACAAAGATGGGAAAATAAAATTATCCATATCATGCCTAGCAAACATTCATTAATGGAAATACAAAAATCGAAAAGAGGATCAGTCTAAAATGTGGCTTCATCCTACAACCACTGCTTTCAGCGGAAATTTTCATAACATATGGATACGGATCATTACCAAAGTTTCTCAAACAATACTCCTATCGTTATTGTTAACATCGTAAGGGAGTTCGTTAGGTGTTGAGACCAATTGTACATATCTGTATTGTTTATAGGGGCATAATAGTTTTCAAGATTTATTCAGAAAGCTGATTACATACCGTCCCTTTAATGTTGGTTATTTTCGTGACTGAACTAGATACAGTAGATCAACACCAATAAAACTCGAAGGTGATATTTCAAACACTCGAATCTAAATAGATCAAGGTATGTAAACAAGGTTGTTTTCTTTGGCGATATCTGTGCAAACAACTTTTGACTTAACATCGGCTCCTTTGTTGTTTTTCCATAATTTTCTTCTGAGAGATTACGATTCCTCGAAGCAAACGAAACACCTATTTCCTGATTATTGAAAACCACACAAAAGCGTCTCGTATACAAAAACCCATCAATACAATCGCAAGGAGTGTGTTTATTGCGCCATAGTTGAGTTTATTGGCATCGGTTCATTTATTTAGAACGAAAATATAACAAAATGTGATTCTGGAACCGCGCTGAGTCACATTCGGTCGCATTGAAATTCCTGGTATCTTAATCATTCACTGTTATTTTTTGCCGTTTTCTGAATGAGGTGATAGGTGATTGTTGTTGTTGAGAAAATGCATGTTTTCCTTGATTATTTATTCTCACATATTATCAGTTCTAGGAAGAATGTGCATTAAATTCGCGATGACTTACTAAAATTCGCTGCTTCTGAGAATTGTTACGAACGGTTGCATTTCAAATACGATTGCGATTATTTTTCTTACCAAATCCAAAGTGGGACGTCATATATGGACTCGAAAATCTGTTTTTCTATCAACCAGCTGTCGCCCTTTTACGAATGAGAACCCTCAGAAGTCGAAATCGTAAGATACCTAACACGTATGTAAACTGTATGAAGCATATAAGCTCGACCTCTTCGTAACAAAAATCCCTGACACATTAGGAGTTGGAAACAACACTCCCAATAACACAGATTACATTATTTTCATCAAATGCACCATGATCCAGTCAAATAACCTATTTGCGATCACATAACCTTTGGCATTATAATTTCGCCGACTGTATTTCGTCTTCTATTCGTAAAGTTTAAATAAGACGGAAAATCAGATATAACTATCCCATGGTTTATTTTCACATTAACACTATTGCACGATTCATCCATTTAAAAAGACCGATTAGGCCTGTTTGTATTCGAAAAAATGAATAAAAGTCTTTTAAAATTATCAAGTATCGAAACTTCAATAATCTAGTGAACACTTTGTACATGATTTCTCATTGAGCAACAATTTCATGGCAAATGTAAAAAATAATTCATGAATTCAACTTTTCAGTCAAAAAAATACAGACCTGGTTCAATGCCTCACAGGTTAGGCACTCTGGACAAATTGAGAAGAAGAAGAAGAATGGTATGTTTGATCATGTTGAAGTGAAGTACTAGGAAAACAATTCATATAGAAACAATATAAAATGAAACGGAAAGCTGAAAAGCTAATAAAGAGAAATATCAGATAGCATGTCATAAATAGATCATTGAAATCGATCAACAACATGAAATATAGAATTTTAATAATTATAATAAAAATGATCATGACCTTTATCAACCATAACATTAGATGAAATGAAATTATGGCTCAAGTAAAGTAACAGCTTAGTCAAAACTGATCTTTTTCCTCGGGAACTTGTGATACAAAACAAAAAATATCTAAGATTACAGATCAAAAACTCCCAAAAAAGAATTTTGTGATTATCCCTAGAAAATTGAGAAGGAATAAAAAAAATACTTTTCTAGAATCAATGGTAATTATATGTATTTATATATTCAAACAACTGTACTCTCTATAATTGAAAAAACTATATCAAATTATTACTCAAAAATCAATATTATTTTGTACGAGAACTGAACACTTCTTTCTGAAGTGAGAGATAAACAGTTAATTTGAGATATGGAAATATAAAAAGCGTATTTACAAAGAAAAACAAATCATTGCGACCTCAAATGGAAATAGATTAATACTATGTGTTTAACAGAAATTTCATTTGAATAAAATGCCAATAATATGTCAAAAGTTAAGTGGGTTTTACCGAATTCGTTTACCTAATCAGTGGATATAAGCTCGTTATCGGTTTTTCTAGATCAGTATAAATATTTATAATTAGTAGAATCAATTTTAATTGAATTCTCATAATATCATCTGATGTTCACCTACTATGCCTATAAGTGGATGCTAAACAGTGTGTAGGTTTTTCGAAGCAAAAATAACTCGAATTTATACGTTGTGTAATGTTGATTCATTTGATGTAAGAGTTTACTTGTCAGAACATGACTGTGAAAAACTAGTTTCATTCATGAAATACATGAATATATCGAGATATTTATATGCATTTACACATATTGGAGGTTGTGTTTTATCTCTAAGTAAATAGAATGGAAAGAAGCGGTTATATGAAGTTCTATTGAAGAAACAAGCAGTTCATGATTTCTTGAAACATTGGTCAGAATAAAAATATAACGAAAATGATGAAGAAAGTTGCACCTTGACATCTTGAAAATATCACACCATGAAAACTCACAAATCGGATTCAACCACTGATTGATCCATATCTAATCTTGATGAAATAAAAAAATTGCTGTAATGGTTGTCATATTTACTATAGTTCAAGAAATAAATAGCCAATGAAATTTGGATGCAGAAAACTTCTTTAACAATTCTATCTTCATTTCAAGATAAGCTGGTTTGAAAGAATATCCAAATCAGTGGATTCATAAGAGATGACCAGTGAAGTGGCAACCATGTTCACCTGATCTAACTCCCATCGATTTTTTTTTCAAGGAATATCTGTTCCCTTTACCTTTGCCATGTTTCATAAAGTTGTAATAACGGGTGATTTTTAAGAAGTATAGGATTTGATTTCCAAAACAACACAAAAAATATGAAAAAATTGATGAAATCTTTATTGGAATCGATAGAACGATCAATATAATTTTATGTTTGAAGATGATTTCATGCAAATATTATCCGCGGCTCCGCTGTAGATGGCCCATGCGCAAGGTCCAATTTTGGCACACTCTCTCTAACATATCGACCGGTATTTTACGTATAAATGCTTCAATATTGGCTTCCAGGGCGCCAGTCGTTGCTGGTTTATCTTTGTAGATATGAGCCTCAACATGGCCCACAAGAAATAATCCAAAGGCGTTAAATCACACGGTCTAGGCGGCCAATTGTCGGGCTCCAAACGTGAGATAAACTGTTCACCGGAGGCGAGTATTAATTAGGCCATTGTTTCGCGTGCCGTGTGGCATGTGGCACCGTCTTGTTAAAACCACATATCAGGCATGTCCAATTCTTCCATTTTGGGCAACAAAAAGTCATCAATCATCACGGTAGCGCTCGCCATTCACAGTAACGTTCCGGCCATTGTCGTCTTTGAAGACGTACGGCCCGACGATGCCACCGACCCATAATCCACACCAAACAGTGACTTTTTCGGGATGCATCGGTTGCTCTTGCAATGCTTGTGACTGGTCTTCACTCCAGATGCGGCAATTTTGCTTGTTAACGTATCAATTCAACCAGAAATGAGCCTCGTCGTTAAACACAATTTTTCGATAAAAATGAGGATCTTCCTCCAACTTTGCCAGCACCCATTCACCAAATGTTGGGCATTGTGGGAGGTCGTGTGGCTTCATTTCTAGCACCAGCTGTATCTTATAAGGTTTTACACCCAAATCCTTTCGCAACATTTTCCACGTAGTGGAGTAACACAGGGCCAATTGCTGCGAATGGCGGCGAATCGACATTTCACGGTCATCACGAACACTGGCGGATACAGCCGCAATATTTTCTTCGGTCCCCACTCTACGTATGCGTGTTGGTGGTTTGATGTCTAATAATGTAAACTAGGTTCGAAATTTAGTCACAAGCTTCCGAATAGCTCCCTCAGCAGGCCGACGAAACTGCCCATAAATTGGAAGAAGTGCACGATGCACTTCTTCCATTCACGCGTGATCTGTCAGTGTTGCCATTATATATTGAGTATGTTATGAAGATATACATTGTGAACTAGAAGCATTAGGAAACTTTCTTTTTTTATATTCATTTTTACTTTACTTTACTTCAGAAAGATCGATAAAAAACAAAAATTACTTTCGTTCAATATTTCGGTGTCTTCTTGTGCCCATTTTCTCTACTTTGTTTTGCTTTTTGCAATAAATTTCTCCAATTAGCAAATTCTATACCGTTCATTATGACAGTATTAAATAAGTTTTTGATAAAATTTATTGTTTTTGTTGGAAAAAAGGGTTTGGCTTTCTATTACTCCATCTTGGAATATTTGGAATCTTCCAAATAAAGGAAGGAAACAGTCAATTTCAAAAAAGTAACTCTATACAAAGATATGTAGATCATGCAAAGAAGTAACTTTCAGACACAAACTAAAAGAAAAAGCCCTCCTGAAACAGCTGCTTTCATATTAACATTGAATTACACGAAAGAAAAATTCTTTCGAAACAAATACTGAATTATACAAAAAATGCTTTAATTGGTTTGTATTCCAAACATTAGTGATGGAATTGAATCAGATATCATTACAGGATTCCTACACAATAATATTAAATGAAAAGTAAAAATTTCACTTATATAGAACACTGTCATCCTCACTGGTATACATTGATGTTTCACCGTAAGACACTTGCCCTAAGGCTCTTCAGTACCAAATTTGATAACATTATAGAAAATACACACAACTCATTCATATATTACGACTCCATGTCATGGAATGAATTTGATCTGTCGTCGAAACGACATTCATTCTCTTATTTGAATAAATCCCAACCGAAGGAATCTTGTTTAAATTGAAAGGGTTTAAATTCTGTCTGTTATATCTTTAGTTATTTTGTTTTCTTGTGGAACATCAATAACTGAATAATTGGCATTGAAATATTTCAATATATTATGTTATTTTTTTATATTTGAAACATGAAAAATAAAAGGTTGTCGAATTCAGAAATTGATAAGCTTCAAATAGAGCTTTCACTTGATCTTGATCTTCATAGATATTTCAGACGTGAAACTCCTCCTGAATTCAACGGGGGACAATCGATGTTTCGGGATAATATACTTGCCTTATTGCCTCGTCAGCACCAATTTTGATAACATTATAAGATGAAGCATTCATAACGCGAATGAGTTAAGTCTACTCATGTCATCGATTTAATCCCAGCCATAGGAGTCGTATTGTATTAGGAGATATTAATTTTTAGGTAAAAACGTTTTGGTTTTCTGCGACTCCTTACTCATACAAAAAAAAAGTGGGAAGCTTCCAAAGAAACTCTTTACAAATATTATTCTCTTCTGAAAATATATCCCCTTAGGTTTATATTAAAATCTAATTACAGCTTAATGGAGAAAGAACCACAATGAACAAACATTTTGCCAAATACAAACAAAACTTTCGACAATTCCCAACTCATTTCCACGTTTGCATTCCCGATTAAAAAAATAGTACCGCAACAAAAACACGGATGTAAAAATAACCGTCATAAATAAATTCAATGGGCATTGTATTCAAATCAGTCTTTACTAATTCTATCGGCAACTTTAACTGACAGTTTTTTATTTCCAGGTGATGAAAGACGGTATGAGCGCCGAGAAGGAAAGCGCCAAGGTGGCGGAATCGAAGAAAATTCAAGCTGGCGATCTGTCTTACGAGGAAAATAGTGCAGCAGCCGCAACAAGGGCTAGATTGGAAATAGACGGAGTTTCAGCTGAAAAGAGTCAGCTAACAGCGAAGGTAGGCTACAGCTGGTTTTTTGTTGATTTTTTTGTGGAAATCGTTTTGGAAGGATAATATTGAAAATGTTTGCAATAAAGGTATTACTTTAAATTATTGAATATGTTGAAAGAAGTGTAAAAACCTTTTTCAGTTTTCCAATTCGCCAGACAAAGAAAAAAAATTATGTATTATTACGAGTAAATAAATGGAAAACATCAATATTTTTTATCGATATGTATATTTGTTTTTTTGTAGCAAAAATGAGTTATTCGATGCAAAATCGTATTAACCGGGAAAAGAGGTGTTCTGTTGAACGTCCACCCATTTTGAATAATTTTCTAATATTTTTTCTATCTCTCGAGTGATGGGGAATGTTCCTTCCGACGAAAATCAAGTACCTAGTTTTCATAAAAGAGCTCTAAAACAATGCATTTTAAACTTATCATTTCAACCTTTTTCTTTAAAAAATTATATAAATACTCAAAAAAGAGGAATGAAATAATGTATTCAACATTTAAAGGGATTCGTTTCTATTTCACCATTTGGCAACATCGGTTATAGCTAATGAAGGACAATGAATCTGTTACCTGTATGAGACAAACAAAGATGGCATATTTCAGAGGCGTGCTGTTCTGTTCACTTATGTTCCGAGTTCCGAGACATTCTGTGACATATGACATTTTGTGTACCAGACCTATCTTCCTCTATATAAATAAATAACAAAACAACTGTTGTTTATGTGGCTTTTGGAGGTGGTATTCAACTATAATTTATATTTTGCCTTAATTGTTGATTTAAAAAGATAATTTTCCTTTTTCAAAGTAGAATATCTAGGTACGTATGAATTATTTCAACTTGATATAGGCGCTGTTGCCAATATGTGAATTAGAAACAAATCCCTTTAAAAATCAAAACCCAACATTTGAAACATCAATTTGAATACTTTTCACAGTGAATTTGAAAAGCTCATGAATTAAACTCAACTTCATTTTGTTCAAACTTGCATTTGCTGTAATAACCCAAATTGAGGAACATTCCCCATCGTAACGGGCTATCTACTCAAATATTTTTTCCTGCTTTCGAAATTGGTCGGTAATTTCTGAAACCTATCACACTCAAATTTCAGGCAGCAGAAGTGACAAATAATAACACTAATTAATATTTTTTTATCTGACTCTCCGTTTCGAATGCTTTCATATTTACAAACGAGTAATAATCAAATCGACGTTGATGATGTATGTTGGAGTTAATTATCTGATAGACGTAATTACCCTATCGCGATGATAAATTGAAGAGACCTATAATCAAGGGTGTTCAATTTTTTTTATAGAATTTTCGAGACGAAAGTGTCGATTAGGATTTTATGACTGTAATTAATATTGATTTATGAAACGTTAGGGATGACGGAACTTGGTGAAGGTTAGTTTCATGCGCGAAAGTTCAACAGGAAGTGAATTTTTTTGTTTTAGTGCTCTTTGAAGTATTTTGGGGCCATAAAATCATACTATTCGTATGTAACTTGGCAAACAGTTCTTCAATGTCAACAATTTATGACATTCAGAAATCTCAATCGAAACTTATAATAGGACATTTTCAATTCGAATCGAAACATTAAAATCGAAAAGAATACGCGACGTTCTGGTAATGTATCCAGCCGCGTCAATGCGATTTCATGTCAAGGCACGATATATTTTAACAATGAAATCCTATCGTTGGAAAACACGAGTTTAGTCATTTACGTAGTCTGTTCATATATTTAAACATTGTGTTTTTAATAATTGTATTCTCATGCAAATGTTCTCGATTTAGATAGCCTCGCGAATTGTCCGAGCTTGTAGTGTTTTGGCTATGGCGATGGTCTTACAAAGTCTATATTGTGTCCTGTTTCTTGATGATGTTTGGACAGAGCTGAGGATCGGTCTGACTTTCGGGCAGCAAGTTGATGTTCGTGTACTCTACTTGTGACACGTCTATTGGTCTGGCCTACATAAGTTGTATGGCAATCGGAACATGGAATTTCATATATACCCTGGGATTCACTGCTAATTTTGTCTTTGGGGGAATGGAGGAATGTAGAAATTTGATTTTTGGTGGTGAATATAGTTTTTATGTCCTGTTTTTTGAAAATCCAGGCAATTTTGTCAATAACACCTCTAATGTATATATATTCTCGTCCGTAAATGTGTGCTCGCTCTCTTGCTCGTATGGTAATATACGAAAAGTAACTCTCTCTCTTTCTATCTTTACTAACTTATACCTCCCTCTCAACTTCCGTTCGCCTCTTCCGATCACACTTTTCGTAACGTTCTCGTCACGCATTTATCAGCTCACTCCCCAAGTCAAGCGCGCGTAAAGGAGTTTTACTTCAGAAATTTGTGTTCGTTGGCGATTCTTTTTCCAAAAAAAAACCTTGAACCGCAACTTTTGTAATGCCCCTCGCAATGTTATTCAGGTCATTTGAGACGCAAGCACTCCTTTTCAGGTGTGCCACATTACGAATGTTAATAAAACGTCAGGATGAAAAATATGTTCGCACGACACGCGTTCCGTCTATTGATGTTTTATCGTTTAGAGAATTGTTTATGCCGATAGTTTGAAGTCGCTTTGTTCGACTGCTGATTAAGTCAATCGTTGATGATTTGGAGTTGGTGCATCTGTACTTCAAGCTGGAGTCGCAGATAATTTTATTTACAATCATTTGTCCGAGAACTTGAAATGATACTTTTCAGTATCATTTCTCAATTACATATTGAGGTGGACAAACTTACAGAGAAAGATAGCTAACAATAAAAATGATCAGTGAAAACTATGAAAAAATGGGTGAATCGTAAACAAATGCTTATTCCAGATATAAACTAGAAATGAATTGCGAATCAATCCACTGCCGATGCAGAAGAAATGAAGAAAGATGCACAAGAAGATAGCCATAATCAGTGTTTCCAGGTCTACTGTTTTGGCAGTAGATCTACTCTTTCGGTTCGCGTACTCTTTTAGTTTGAGAGTTAAAATTACCTGATGACTCAGTTAAGTTGCTGTTAAAATTATTAAATAACTCTGAATGGTGAAAATGACCATGTTTGTAGAATGTATCTATAAAATATATTTTCTACTGTTTTTTGTATCGACCAACTGTTTTTCTGAAACAAAAACTACTGCTAAACTTGTAATTGACTTGGCAACACTGGCCTTGTTAGAATGGCACGATTAGTACCTCTCAAACCTAATATAAAAAAATAATTTAACTCAGTTAACGTCGCAGACTGGAAACCACTGTAATCCCTAAGTTCATGAATTTATTAGTTTGTATATCAACAATAATTCAACTTATTGGTTCAACGATACTAACAACCGGAGGATCCAAAAAATTCAGATCATTTTCAAACCATTAATCATAAGTTTGTAAGAACTGCTGAAACAATATTCAATCTGATGTAAAGTTTTTCTGATTCTTGATGTATCATCATCAACAGTACCATCGCTTCACGTTTTAATCAGAAACTATTTTTTATGAGAGATCATAACAGACAATGTCCCCAAAACTGAACCTTGCGGAACACCCTGTTCTCAGAAACCTCTTCGTCGACTTATATTTTCTGAGAATCCAATACACGATATCTTTTTATCGCTTCGGTAGAAACACTATATGCCAGTTCAGGGGTTCGAGAGTCCAAACAACCCCTCATTAAAATTTCTAAGAATTTCGGCCAGCTAGATCGATAATCCGGCGCGCGACGCTGCCGTCGACACGCTAGACCTAGTTCGCGTCGGAGAGAAGACGCCATGAGAGAGAAATCGTTTCGGGCGCTACTTCAATTAAAAAAATTGGCGTTTAATGATAGACTCGATTCGTGTAATCGCACATCCCATGTGGTTTGCTCGTTGGACAATAATGTTAAAGTTAACCGAAGATTGCTTTTCATTCCCAGTAGAAAGCTTGCAGCACGAGTCAAGGTAGGTGTTCCAGAATGTTCTTCGAATAAATTTGTTGTTTTATGACTCAGCTTGAAGGTCAGTTGAAAAAATAGTTTCGATTATGTGAATAATATTTAGGTATTGAGACAAACTTTTGATTATTTACCTGTGATGCACTTTTTGGAACCTTTGGATTAGTAATGAATATTACTGGAGTTTTATCCCAACACAAAACCATTATTTTTAACACCTCGACACCAAACCGTTATTTTTAACACCTCGACACCAAACCGTTATTTTTAACACTTCGACACCTCAATCACCAACTGACTGAGGTGTCTTCCTCTTGAAGATGATCGCTTGGTGATTGAAACACGTGTCGAAGTGTTAAAAATAAACGGTTTGGTGTTAGGAAAAAACTCCAGTAATATTAATTTTTCGATTATTTGTTCGGTACTCGATTCAGACAGCTTCAACCAATGATAGCTAAACCAAGCGATTTGGGAGAAAATTTTGGTTATTTCCACTTGTGCTCAAGAATATTAGTCGGACCATTAGACCTAAGGGCGAATTTGTTTGCGTTTGGTTCGATGTTAAGTGCAATCAGGATATAAGTATTCATCTATCTACTGCTAATGTTCAACTTTGTTGGTATTCAGGAATCAAATCTGATGACCTTCCTTAACTGATTCAGGCAAACCATTCAGTTTCAAATGGGTGTTTACTGCAAAACATCGAAGTCAAATTCAAAAACAGTAACGTATTCGTATCCCAAATTTTCCATGCCTATGGAAAAAAAATTGGGGTACATGGTACTTGGATCAACAATAGCTGAAAAACTCGATAAAGTAATTGAGTGATTCGTTCGGACAAATAATTTTTTATTTTATCAACTGATGAACAGATATTTATTTGAATAATATCAGCTGATAGTACCGAACATGAGATATACATTCACCGCAGAAAATAGTTTCATGGGAATAGAAGGAAGCTCATTTGGTGACTGAATTCGTTAAGCCTAATCAGCAGGTTGATTTTCAGGTAGTTTACGCCAGATAAATGACTTTGTAATTTATCCTTTCTATGAAAAGGTTATGTCCGCTGACTTAAACATATATCGTAACTTTTCTTTCCTCTTCTCATTGTTTTTTGTTAACTGTCACAGATTTGGTGTTGTTCTGCCATTGGCCTTTTCTGCTTTTCCTGAAATTTTCGTAAACTCAAGTTTGTCATTTTACCATTTTCATGATTTCTCAAAAATGTATTCTTGTCGATTTTAGTGGAACTAGGCGTGTTAGTTACCAGTCACAAGGGGATGATAATTACGGATAATAACTCCAGTGGCGTTACACAAATATTCATGGTAATAATAATTGTGCACCACAGTTTTTCTCCAAGTTTGATATTTCATCAGATTGAATTTATTTTATTTTCATTATTACTTATGCTGTACTCCTAATAAAATACGAATCTATTAGCAATTTGAATACGTCTTTCTTCTCTACTATTGAAACAAAGTTTTTATTTCAAAGATTGTTCGAATGGCTACGGATACCAAAACACATTTTCGAAACTTTAATGATGCTTGATCCCCATTTCTACGCTACTGACTCGATAGCTATTTCAAATGATTTCACCAGTGGCGTACAACTATTGTACGCCACTGCTGATATCAGCAGTGGCGTATATAAATATTATTTCTTGGTACATCTCTTTTATTTGTATTGGTCTGATACTGTTACGAATCTCTTATTTGTGCCTTTATTATTATATTTATATACATCACTGTGATTAATGAATGATCTAATTTCTGTTAGATTCATTTATAGATATGTTAGACATTAGTTTTTTTTTCGTAGAAACTATTGTATCTAACCGTGTTCATCATCTTTCTTTATATTTACGTATTTACAAATCTATAAACATCCATAAACATTACTCAGTCATCCATAATCGGAATTCACATTTATTCATAGTTTGAATGTTTATCACATCGTTGATATGAGGTTAATATAGCAAAGAAAGAGATTGAAACTCACAGTTGATAGAAACTTCTCCACAAGTGCAGTTAACTAGAGTGATCTCATACTTGAAAAATGATTCAGTTTTTAATTACCGATGGCAATTTTTTCATCAAACTAGAGGTAATGAAGAATACCATTTATATATAAAATTCACGCTTCGTTATGTTATATTTTTTATGTCATATCACTGCATTATTTTGTTTTTGAATGTTTAATGTAATTCCATATCGAAACTTACCAATACAAACGAGTCCACTGAGATTTTCCCCATGAACAGTAAACTGTATTAGTAAGTATTGTATTTTTATCACTCAGGTATTCACCACATAATATGGTATTTTTAGCAAGCTTAACATGCCCTTTATGGCGCTGGAGGGTATAAAATTGCAGTTTATGAATAGCCTATTATCAATTGAAAAATGTATTTCCACCCCAGTTCAGTAATTTGTTATATTCTTTGTCGTGAACGTCTCTCGATTTTTTCGGTGGCAAGTTCTATATTGATTTCTTTGGATTTTTTCTGTACTTTCGTCAGCAATTTCAGCGTTTGATAATAGATTTGTATGCCCTTACACATGAACTCATGAACCTCATAAGTTCGTCGCATTTTTTTGGCATAATATCACTGGTACATAAATAACTATTATATTTTATATTTCATAATAAAAGTCACATATAGTTCTAAGAGCATTCTATGATTAGTTGGTTTAACGTAGCTAAAGAAGTCTAGCAAAAAACTACCAAAAATCGAGCTAATTTCATCTGTTAAAATAACAACTCATCACACATTAATACGATGTAGGTAAAACGAATATCCGTCATAGCATTAAACACCTAAGAGTAATCGTCAACTTTAGGAAACGTGACTATTCGTTTTGTTGTAAATTAGTCATATTCAAATACTGCTTGTCTCTCATAGACTTGATATCATAATTTTCTTCCTTTTTATTTATCTGTTCATTCTCTCACGTTCCACTTTGTTGTATTATATTCATTTGAAATTTGTATACGTTTATCAATTAAATATGAACTTCAGAGTACGTATACTTTTTATCCATCCATTGATTGTTAGCTTACCACATGCTGTTTGATAAATCATTTTTCGATAACTTCACTCCTTCACAATCAAGTTCTGATAGATGATCGTTCTGACACACACTGTATATCAGTTGCGCTCAAATATTTTTGTGAATTTCCATATTTTTCTTCCTCACTTCGTTTCTCCTGAAGCAGACATTGTTTATTAGATTTTCAAACCACGTTTTTCTTCACACCACATTCATATCCTACAGACTATACCTCAAGGTTTGCTATTCCGGATCTATTAAACTGTCATTAACAGGTCGCCACGCACTTGAGCTAATTTACGTTATTATTTGCTTTAGAGCCGAATTCAGTGTAACACGTTTCACGTTTTTCTCTTGAGGATCCATTGTAAAGGTATGTCTTCAATAAGTTAACATTCTACATCGTGAATCATGTCGAAAACACCATGTTCGAATCTGGACAACTCAAAATAAATACACCTAATATTTATTCAATGTTCGTTTTATTGATTAGCCCGTTATAAATAAAAAGGCGCATTATTTTCGTCGGTCAGTGTATGTATCAACGTCCATAGCATTAAAATTGTGGCACCGATCCAAAACAATCGCAAGTCTTATTTTTACTCGACAATTTCGGTTCCAATATTCCCCAATCGCGCGAAGCGATAACATCTCGTTCGTGATGTTTCTTACGCAATAAAGCATGTTTTAATTGCGCGCGACCGAACGTTTTAGTGTTTTCAAGAGGGGTCGTATCATGTCGGCTCCGTGGCCAGTGCGAGAAGGAGCCTTGAGGAAAATGGACAGGAACACAGAAGAGCTACCTCTAGTCGTTACTAGAGTTAAAGTTCCTCCTAAATTGAAGCTCCAAATGATGACGAACGTAAATATTGAATACCCTTTTTTGCTCACAAAAACATTTGTCATAATTTCGTTATCTTGTAAATTACGTTGAATAAAATTTTATATGTAATATAGCCCTCATCCTGCCGAAAATTAATAAACGTATTGTCAATATCTTTGAAGACAAAATCAGCTTTAATAACCGTGAAATTAATTTTGTTTAAAAAGCTCCAAATGATGACGAACGTAAATATTGAATACCCTTTTTTGCTCACAAAAACATTTGTCATAATTTCGTTATCTTGTAAATTACGTTGAATAAAATTTTATATGTAATATAGCCCTCATTCTGCCGAAAATTAATAAACGTATTGTCAATATCTTTGAAGACAAAATCAGCTTTAATAACCGTGAAATTAATTTTGTTTAAAAACGCCTTCAACGTCAGTCCCATGCCAGAAACTCGTTATTCCTAAAACTATTTGAAATATTTCATGTATTAATATCCCAGTTTTATTGCCTCGTATATATTTCAAATTTTTGTCAGACCATAGCAGTTTTATAGCGAAATCAACATAAAAATTCTACAATTCAGGTGATACCTTGAACACTACACCTAAAATAAATCCAGTATGATGTTTCCAAATTTTTTTTATCCAAACATTACACCTCTTATCTTTCTTATCTGTACCGTTGGAACTATGCACTCATTGTTACTAAATTAAATCAGCCGGATATCAAATATCCTGCAGATGCCATGAAAACAATCTCGTTAACACCAGTCGTATCTGTTTATTTCAGGAAGCGAGGTTACTGAAGGCGGGCGAGCTTAGTCAACAGGAATCGAAAAACATGGCCCAAACCAATATGAAACTCACGACGGACAAATTCAGTAGCGAAAGGACAGCCATCGAATCCCAGCAACAGCGTCAAACGGTCACTACTAGTGGTATATATAATCAGGAAAAACATAGTTCCAGTTCTAGTCACGTATACACCTCCACTAAGGCTTCCAGTAACACTGCTGCTATGATGCAATCTACAAGACAGGTAAGAAAATCAACAATTGAAAGTCTACAAATAGTTCTCTGATGAATGAACGCGTGTGGCCAGCTTATTTTGAGAATTCACCTGGGGCATTCATGACCTGCTGAATAGTTGGTGTAGCATTTTATAGTCCAAATGGCATTGCAACCAATCCACTCTTTCACCACTCTTGCCCACCTTCATTTGGTTTCTTAGTAACCAACAGACATTAATACTCAAAGTGATTTTAAAAACTTTTGAAATCAGTCGAAAGGGTAGGGGAGCTGGACTCCAAACCTGAACGAATCGAAGATGACCTTCTGACAAAAACTTTTGATAACTTCGATCTGATTATGGACGATGGTGATTTGAAATAATTCATTAAGAAAGTAATAACCAAATTGCTCATCTGTCTGGATTCCAGAAGTTTGATTATTGAAAAGCTCAATACTTGCAGTAAATTCAACTAGAAAAACGTGAACTGAGAGATTTACAATGAAGTTTTGCTACAAGTTTTACTCATAATGCATATAATAATAGCTTGACAACTTTCGGATCAACTAATCAATGTATGGGTAACCAAGCGATGAAAAAAATCATGGCTCGAATTTGAATTAGAGTATTATGAAATTCAGTGGGATACATGTTTTTCAGCCTATCAGTAGTCAAAGGTAAGGAATTGCCGCATTTTAAAAAACAACAACGTAGGAAGTCATAGCAAAACCTAGTTTAGAAGAACTTATCTTCACGATCCTACCACTAAAAACAACAAATTTGGTACTAAAAGGGTAATATAGGGATGTCAATAATTTTCTCATGCTATAGGAGAGATATTTTACATATGTTCAAGAAATAAAAGAAAACAAAGACCCTGTGCATTATGCTGGATACATTTCCTTGATGCAATAGTTTTGATGGATCTCGTAGACAATTATATTTTTTGGTGGGCCATATGAATTGCTTCATTGTTTTTCAATCTTCTTTACACATTGTTTTGCAAAAATCGTCGAAGTAACATCATTATTTCAATTTCAGTTCCACCTCATGAACGGTACACCAGAAGAATCGATACTGAACACTTCCCTGGACGATCTAGATGGACTATCCGCCCAATCCGACGTTCACGACATCGAAAGGGCGAAACACAAATACTCCACATACCTAGACGAATCGATACGCTGTTTGCAGAAATTGGATCAGAGCAAAGATGCGCCTTTGATCCTCAACAAAATCAACGACGTGATGTGTAAAGCCTGGGCTGTACCAACCTACGGCCACGAGCTGGGTTACGCGCTATGCAACGCTCTCAGGAATAGCGGAGGTCTAGATTTAATCATGCAGAATTGTACCAAATCCGACAAGGATCTTCAGTTTTCCAGCGCCAAGCTCTTGGAGCAATGCCTGACAGCGGAGAACAGAGCACACGTTGTCGAGCACGGATTGGATAAGGTAATTAACGTCGCCTGTGTTTGTACTAAAAACTCCAACGTGGACCATTCGCGAGTTGGAACCGGCATTCTTGAACACCTGTTCAAACATAGCGAAGAAACTTGCAGCGACGTGGTTGGTCTAGGAGGCTTGGACGCACTCCTCTTCGAGTGCAGAAAGACAGACATTGAAACATTGAGGCACTGCGCCGGAGCTTTGGCTAATCTTAGTTTGTACGGTGGGGCCGAAAATCAGGAGGCCATGATAAAGCGCCAGGTGCCGATGTGGCTTTTCCCTCTGGCATTCCACAACGACGACAATATAAAATACTACGCTTGCTTGGCCATTACGGTGCTTGTGGCCAACCCTGAGATAGAAGCTCAAGTGCTATCGTCTGGCACCCTCAACTTGGTAGAACCTTTCGTCACCTCTCATAACCCTTCAGAGTTCGCAAAGTCTAACCTCGCCCATGCTCACGGGCAAAGCAAAACTTGGTTGAAGAATTTGGTACCGGTGCTCAGTTCGAAACGAGAAGAGGCGAGGAACCTGGCCGCCTTCCACTTCTGCATGGAAGCGGGTATCAAGAAGCAGCAAGGAAACACCAATATGTTTTCGGAAATCGGTGCCGTCGAGTCGCTGAAGAAAGTCGCGAGTTGTCCGAACGCTGTGGCTTCCAAGTACGCGGCGCAAGCTCTGCGTTTGATCGGGGAGGAGGTACCGCACAAGCTCAGCCAGCAAGTGCCGCTCTGGTCTGCCGAAGACGTCGAAGAGTGGGTGAAACAGATTGGGTTTCCTGAAATCGCGTCAAGTTTTGTCGATAGTAGGGTTGACGGGGATCTTTTACTGCAACTGACTGAAGATAATCTTAGGGACGACATTGGACTAACCAATGGAATCAAACGAAAGAGGTGAGTTGCGATAATGTGTTATAGAATACTTAGTTGTGTCAACTACTGGAATGGAAAAAGGGTCGTTTTGTTGTTCATGTCGACCTGATTTATTTACTTTTCTGCTCTTTTCCGGTTGGAACTTTTGTGCGTTTTTCGTTGCAACCAACTTGTTTCTTTTTGACAATAGATACTTTCAAAAACATATTTATTGATCCTATGAAAATTAAAGTTGAGGAGGTCTTGAACAGTTTCATTATTCCTTTCATGAATCAATGGGAATTATGTTATTTTTGTATGATTGACAGAAAATTACCGGTTTAATAAATATAAAACCCAGACCACAAATGATTGTACCACATGCACTAGTTTATTTTCACCCACTACACTAATATCTAGATATATTAATACTACAACCGCAATTCATCATATGATATGCTTATCAGTTCATGATTTATACTAGCATTTGTTATCAAATAAAATTTCCTGCGGTATTTATCTTTCACTTGTTCAAATTCTCTTTGATTGGTTTCTCTTTCAATTTGTGATTGGCTAAATTTTCATAAGAAATTATTCTTATTACATCATTATTATTGAGTATCATCAATCTAAGGTGTTTCTCGTCCAAGCCTAGATGATATTCCCCTATCTTTGGCGATAGCGTTGTCAACCTTCTCGGTTGTTTTGAATTCCTCACTGTGTGAGGTCCTCATGGCATACGGGACCTAGCACTGACATCAAATAATCCAATACCAGAAGCATTTCTAAAATTTGTACGTGCTGAAAGCCCATTCTTGAACTATTGCATTTATTATTTCAATGACAGGTTCACCAGGGAACTGCAGCAGCTCAAAAAAATGGCAGACTACACCTCAAGAGACACCGCTCACATCAACAACTTCCTCCAACAACTCGGCCCCGAGTTCTCAATATACACCTACAGTTTCCTGAACGCGGGAGTAGAGAAAAAAGACTACCTTCGAAACATCTCCGAAGACCAGCTCTTGAGCGAAGTCGGTATCAAGAACTCCATCCACAGATACAGGATCATGGAGGGAATAAGGCAGCTGGAAAACGGCCTCGTAAATGGACTGAACGAGGAAAACATGGACAAGTCTCTGGACGTCTTCGTCAGCTACAGGCGGTCGAACGGATCACAGCTAGCCAGTTTGCTCAAGGTCCATCTACAGCTGAGAGGGTTCAGCGTTTTCATAGACGTCGAGAGGCTAGAGGCCGGGAAATTCGACAACAACCTTTTGCAGAGCATTCAGAAGGCGAAACACTTTTTGCTGGTGCTTACGCCGAACGCTTTGGACAGGTGTGTGGACGACATTGATAGAAAAGACTGGGTGCACAGGGTGAGTGGAGTTTATTGTATGAAGATCATTGACTTTGTAAGAGAAATTCTTTTGCTCTAGGCCGTTAAGAAATTTTTTCCAAGTCGAAATAATTGAAAACCCATAAGTCAATGTGAAAATTAGTGTTGGTGCAGAGTAGATCACTTTAGATAAATTGGGAAACTACTTTCCTGAGAAATATCGCGACGGGTGTTTATTCATTTCTCTCACATATCTTTTTATATTTCTCGTATTATAATTTTTACTGAAGTCATTTGTTTGCTCCAGGAAATTTGTGCAGCTCTATCAGCGAACTGCAACATAATTCCGATCATAGACAACTTTACTTTTCCCGAAACAGAAACCTTGCCTGAAGACATGCGACAAGTATGTCATTTCAACGCCGTGCGGTGGATCCATGACTATCAAGACGCCTGCGTGGACAAACTCGAGAGGTTAGTATGGCAATCCTTTTAAAAAATATATAACGATTTATAGCGATTTATTTTTAGGACTAGCTGTATATATGTTTTGAGATTTGTCTGTGTAGTTAGCTGAGCTTATTCTTGTTTTCTTCTTCTGTGTTCTGAAGGCTAGTTAGTTGAAATTTGAGCGGAGAAAAATCCATAACTGTACTTTATAGAAATTGTGTTATGAAATCCAAAATATTTTCGGCCTTCTAGGTATAAATTAAAAGTGATCACTTCAACGAAATACAAAGAATGAATAAATCCGAAATTTGGTAAATCTAGAAATATTAAATAACACGAAATTTTCAGTTGTTTCATATATATTTCGCCACTTGTTTGATTGGTGAGGACCAAAGGGCGGCGACATCTACTTTTTAAAATTTGAACATCAAACTCGAGGAAAACATTAATAATAACTATGAGGAACCGCATTTACAAATATTCAAATATTAGTTGTTCATTTACTCCAATGAAATATTTAACATATATCTCTTTATATTTTAGATTATGTGTAAGTAAATATGTGTAATTTAATTGTAAATTGATCCATTATTCTGGTGAAAAATTCCTTCAATCCAGAAAAATATTTCTGGAGAGAAAACAGAAAATCAAAGTCGGAGTATGTGAAACGATTAGCAAATTCATGTTGATTAATTCACTATAAACTATTCCCAGTTATGTATTAGCGAATATCCAATATATTTCTTTCATTTCAAGTTTTGCGTTGATACTTGCGTCACTCGAGGCAATGTTACCCTCAAATTTCTAACCTCAATCTTTATTAATCTGAACTTCAACCCACATCATCTTTTTTCTACGTTTGACACGTTTTCATGTAAATATAACAAATACTTTCGATGTTGATAAGGATGCACTTCGGACATGTAAAAGCACAAACATTTGGCAGCGTAAAAACACTAACCCTGGGCAGCGTAAGAACACTAACACTTGGCAGCATAAAAACACCAACACTTGGCAACGCTTTTCATTGAATAATCGTCAGCTTCTTGTTTTCCGCCAATTGCATGATCCTAATCTTTATTTATAATATTTTTTTAGGTTTCTTAATGGTCACGAACCATAGGCGTGTCACAAGGCACAGCGAAAAATGGCTTTACTTGGCACTTTTATTATTTATTGCATGTTTTGTTATTATTTTTTTTATCGAAATAAAAGATGGTGTTGGTTTCCTTTTTATTTTTACTGTTGTTGTGTCGGTGGTGATTGATAGTTGAATGGTACAAAAAAGACTTGGGTTGAGACCAGCAGTATAATTGAAGCTACCACGAATTAACCTTTTTTGGCAGTTTCAGTTGCACGTTTTTTGGCATGTTCGATTAGATCGATGTAATTCAACATACATTACGTTTATACTTGGAAGAACAATAACGCACTGTATGCTGAAAATAATTTAGCTATATTCAAACTCTTTGGTATCTCTTTTCTCAGAGACATAAGAAGAAGTCTGAAGAGACGTTACTAAACAAAAACATTGTAGACGCTGCTTGTATAATGCCTAACTCTCTGATATAGACTGAATGGTATCACGTGCAAGTTGCCAAAGCTTTTCATAGCTCATTTGCCTTGATAACAATCATGTGAGTACCATTAGATCAATGTAGTGATGTGATAAAACTGCGCAAAATTTTGCACAGCACTAAAGATGAAAAGTTATACCAACCGAACGCGCTTAAACACGACATTAATCTTTCCCGCTTTTTGCATGCCTTGCTGACGTGGTCGAGGTGAGTTTCCAAAATTTTCCGAATAAAAGGCATATTTATTTTCTATTTTTATCGTTCTGAATAGATCCAGCTTTCGCTTTTTTTCACTTGAGATTTACATTTCACTTGTATAAAATGTCGTTGCTTTACTTGCTGATCTGCATATTTGGCAACCGTCTGAGAACGGTTCATAAAATACTGAACAATTCCTAATTCCAACTTTCCTTCATGATAAAATATAAACAAATAACTTACTCAATGGATTTCTTTACTTTCAACTATACAGAGTATGTATTTTTCAACAATTTCAACAGACATTGTTCCAAAACATAAAAATTATAACCCTTTTCGCTTTCGTCAACCATTATAATATAATAGTTGATTGAATACGCCTCAAAAAAAGTTTTGCAGTTCTGGTGTAGAAGAGCAATGTTTATTTTGGATTAATTCTACATTAGAATTTGCTGTTCAACTTTAACTGATACAGAAAGTTGTTAAAAATTGATAAGATATTGAATGATTAAAATTTCATTATGAAATTGTTACGAATGAAAACTTGAATGAATACTTGAAATCCCACTTTCGAAGAGTTCCCTTTCTCAATGAAATTTTCAGTTGGGATCATTTGAAGATTGAACAGAAATAAAATTCATTTTGGTACCACAAATAACATATCAATTGATCAGCAAATGTATCAAGAACAATAAACACGGGTAGATCAGGAGTGGTTTTTACGATAACTTTATATTGGCCAAACGGGAAGAACCTTCTCCCAAAGAATAAAGGAACATATGAGAAGTTTCTTGAATGTACTCAAGACCAATTCCACATCTGCAAACCATTTTTGGCCGAGGGGCATGTAAGTTCAATCACTACTATGATGTACTATTGAAAAAAAAATTAACTAAATTTTTTGGAATATTTGGAAATTAAGGATTCAAAAAAGTTACTGAATGACTAAATGGAATTGAATATGCCTCCACTGTTAAATGAGGCTTTGAGCCAGGGGATGAGACGAATATCGTCCGAAAAGATGAAGAAAAATAGATTAAATATCGGGACTTAACTAGATCACTCTGATAAAATAGTTGTTGATTATTGGAATCCTTGGTGGAACACTGCTTTCTTTCGAACATCGAGATCATACCAGTTTGCCGCACACTGCCAGATATATTGGACCTACCGGGTGTAATTCATAGCTCGCTACGTCTGACCAGGGCACACGATTCTCAGACCTGAAGATCACCTATCTTATAGTCTGGGATTATTGATGTTGGCACCTCTATGCTATTTCGGGGCTTAGGGGAAATAGTCCGACCGGGGTGACATTTCTTGTAAAAAAAAATATCACCAACAGCTAAACCCATTCACAGGGTTAACTAAATGTATCCTACAGATTCTTATGTACATGGTCACAATTAGTAAAATGAATGAATTGCATATAGTAAAGAAATTTCACAACTAAGTAGAATTTACACATACATGTATGGATAAAAAACAGTAAATGAAATGGGTGAAAAAACTTATGCTTAGTTCTCAAATGATGCATACTGAAAGTTTTCCGAAAAAAAATATGAAGGGTAAATATATTAATATAGATTTTATAATTATATAGAGTTCAAATACGAAATATAGCATTCTTTGAAAAGATTTCCCAAGAAGTAATGAAATATGAGTCCTATAATTCTTGTTTATTATAATTTATTAGTATATAAGCAAATTCACTTGTAATAATTAATTATAATAATTAATTGGATTGTAATTTTACATAGTACATACTGTGCAATATCTGGAAATAAATCCAAGGTTTTACTTGTAAGATTTAGTATTTACGAAGCTTTCCTGATCGTTTTATTTTATAGCTTTTTTCAAATATTTTCAGGTTCATGCGAGGCGAAGCGAATCCACGGTGCGGAGACAATCTGTTGAACCGCGTAGGCCTCAAGGGCGACATCACTCCGGGTACCCCCTCGAATCCTAGCCTAGTTAGGCAACCCCCGAATTACCAGCGAATGCACAGCAACGACTCTGGCAGCGGGAAAGGCTCCGACAAAGACGTCAACGGGAATTCGGGGTTGACAAGAGATTGACTAGATGGCCCCTATGCCTCGGTTACACCTACTCCACTGCCAAGGTATTTTTTTGTAATTATTTCATTAGAATGGACCTTCACATTTTTTCAGTTTTGCAAACGTTTTCATTGAACTGGATAAAAAATGAGATTCGTCATGTTCATCAAAATCGCTCTCATAAATTTCGTGGTGAAGAAGAAATCTTGATTCTTCTTCTCATTTTTTAAACTTCTTGTGAACATTTGTTAGGACCATGGAGTGGTAGTTTCATAAGTGATAGTTTCATAATTTGAATGCCAGAAATAAGGAGTACAGTTATTATTGTTATAAGGAACTGTAGTCTCAAGTCTTTGTTACATCTATCTATTGTAATATTCTTTCTTTAGCTAGTCAAGTAACTTTTCAAAATGATTAGTATTGTTAAGAGTGATAATTATATATCAGAAATTATGCCCATGCATAGCTTTCTCTAAAACCTCAAACGATTAAATAAATGTAAAATTACACTCCAATCGCATAAAACACTGTGTTTGTATTTATGTTCCTTATGAATAAATATTGAAAGTTCAACTATAGGTTGTAGGAACAAAGCCTACGTGTTTTATAATTATACACACACCATTCATATACTTGAATTCAGGGTTATTCTTACGTGGAAAGAGGATTTTAATAAATAACTTTGTGCAAATATCACATTAATCAACTCACTTCCTGTCAATAATACTTTTACTACAGGAATTTTTAAAGATTATCTTTATCATAAACATTTTGAAATGTCTATACAAAATATCACTTCAACAATTCTTTGCTTTCCTTGAGGTGTACTCCGTCGCCTTGCAACAGAGGTCCCCTCGAATCTTCTTCTTTTAAATTGTCCTGCTCTAATCAGAAAATTAGTCAGGACATTTATTTCAGTTTTTTCATCAAAGCACTGATACATTCCAAAATCGGAAATATTAAAAAGAAATAAGCTATATCGGCAGATGATTTGACTTTTCTGACGAATATATTTCTGAATCTAGTCAACTCATTTTGGTGTCCTTATAGCCCGACAATTTTGTTACCTGTGTAATGATTTTGTTCATCTGAATAGCTTTGATCATCTCTTCGTTATCTTAAACGATAACGTAGTTTCAATCACTTTTCAAAACGATCGAAGCTGTCAACACAATATGTCAATAATGGAGATGTTTTTTGATGAACATGTCGGCAATATTTCATTTTTAAAATGTGACATATGTGGAAACGTATTTATATTCAGAAGTTAAAACAGAAATTTAATGGAAACTTGTAACATTACTTTTTATAAAAGTGTAAAGGTCCTATGTTGTTTTATTATGTTGCATATTTTGGCTTGACAGGGAATTTTTTGTCATTTGAGCTGAAATCATGGTTGAAAAGGATTTATGCAAACAGACAAAATAAATAATAATAAATGCTTGTATTGAAAGGGTATTCAGTACAAGAGATACTAACCTAACCTAACAAATGGCAGAATTCAACATCTGTATATGATGAATTTCATTAGTTCGGACTACATTATCTGATATTATATATAATGATTTGAAATCCCTGAAATAACTGAGAAAGAAGAATTAAAAATTAAAGAAGAAACAATTATATGAACAAAAAATAAATAAAATTATTGGTTCCATTTTTACTTGTATTTTATTTCACTATTATTTCATTTCAGGTTTTTTGCTTAATATAATTCTTTTTTCAGCTAATCATTTTTATTCTTCTTCTTTAATTATTAATTCTTCTTTCTTGGTTATTTCAGGGGTTTCAAATCATTTTATATAATATCAGACAATGGAAGTCCGAACTAATGAAATTCATCATGAAACATTGTCAATCACCTTCAAACAAACATCTGCACATATGATAAAACAAGGCAGATATTGCTCTTCCATCCAACAAGATACTTTAACTATCATAATTATTCAAATTCTGGAGCTATTAAATTCGGTAGTTTTTTAAATTGAAACAAAGAATAATTCAGAAGAAATCTCGAGATTTTTCTCTACGACCCCCTCAGACTTTACCCAGACCACTCTGTTGAAATGATTGTTCTTGATGATGACTATTATGATTCACTAGTAAATTCTCAAATTTCTCTGAAATCCCTTATGAGTGGAGAAACATACATTCTTTTTTATGAAAAAGTAGGATGTAAGTCGGACATTTGAGATGTTAAACATTCAAATTGGTTTTTTTAATACATACCACATATATTATATATGTTGTATGCTCTTTTGATGGACATAGAACATACATTATGTTCTTGTGAAAGGTTGAAAATACAATATATTGCTTTGTTGACGACAGCACACTTGCCTCAGTTTTCTATGCAGATGCCAAACATCTGTTGAACATGTACCAATACTAATAAGATATTGTGAACACAAACCTGATTTCAGTTCATTTTTTAAAATGCCCCGATTTAAATAATGCCTGTTTGTATGTGAGTTATAATAAAAAAAATCCCAATATTCGTCGCCAAAGCATGACATAACGCTTACCGCGCCCTCTATTAACAACGGACGAACTAACATAAACTTCAGTTCCTTCCTCCAGATTCTGTAAGGCGAACAGTCCGTCCCGCAACTGGATCATGAACTCGAACAGGCTCGGGGGTCTCCCGCCGCAGTACCCGTACCCCCGGAGGGGTTCGAACACGCCCGTCTCATCGCTGGCGCTGGCCAGCCACCCTCCGGCCCCGCCCAACAGATCTCGTAGCCTCGACGGCCTCCTGGACGCCGGCGAGGCCATCCAAGCAGCTTCAGAAGCAACTAAGAGTGAACAAGTTCCGTCCCCGCAGACCGCGACCAAGAGTTGCGACAACATCGACAAGGATTTTCGTGACGATTATGAGACTGAGAGTTATTTAAGTAGTAAGAGTCGCGTTTCGGACGACAGCAGTGAACTCGACAAATGTTCCGTTTATAGCAGTTCGAGCGAATCGAAACGCAAGAGGAACTTCATGGACAGGTGCGTCAACAAAGTTCGGTCTATGATCAAGAAGTAAACGCCTGCATGTGCGAAGAAGGGTAGGTATAGAATTGTGTGAAAGACTAGGGGTTTTCTTCGGTCAGGTTGAAGTCCACTTTCACTGAAAGGCTTGTGTCTTATGTCGAATGTTTCCTTTAATTCTAGAATGATATCAGTCTTCAGGTTTTAATCTCTGTTGATACGTGAATTTACTGGATACATCGATTTTTCAAACACTATAACAGCTTCAACTAGGATGTAAAATCTAGAGAATATTTCTCTAATACAAACTTTTGACAACAGTTGTCTGTAGACAGTTCTCTCCTAAAAAATCAGAAATTCTAGTCAACTTGCACTTGGACTTGTGGAATTGCCATGTTTTATAATGGAAATTGATTAGTGGGTAGTTATTTGTTTGAAGGGAAGGTTTTAATGGGAATTTACAAATGCAAATAGATACTTGTATTATCAACAGAAGAAAAGTATTTTTGGAGAAACAAACTTGAATAGTTCTGGTAGATATTAGAAATTGGTTAATTTCAGATGTTCTCATCTTCCAAGCAGTAAGTACCTAATAGATTTTGTATTAAAAGTTGTCAAGTTTCAAAAAGTATATAGTGGAGTTCAACAGTCATCTTCATAATATGAGTTGAAAGAACTTACAGATTTATTTAAAATTACTCCACAATATTCAGAAATTATTCCTGGGATATTAATTACTTTTATTAGTATCATTTATTGACTAATAAGAAAACAATATCCAAAAAAGTAGAATCCCATATTTCAGAGGAATTTCAAAATATCAAAATTTACAAAAATGTGGGTTCAAAAAATGTTCTTTCGCAGAATGTTCAAAATAAGGAAGCAGTACCCACTTAACCTACAGGAGATATCAAAAAGTCACTCAGAAATTGTGAAACATTTTAAATTAGTAAATTTAAAATCAATTTTCAATGAGGGGTATCTTGAAATAGATTCCTTTGTAAAAGTTCAAAACGAAGATTTATTTTGTCATTTTTGAAGCAGATGTTTGGGTACAATTTCTGTCAGCCTGACACAGAACCATAAAAAAAAATTTCAAAAACAAGTGCTAGAGTCAGAAAGTGTTGAAAATGTGTACTTTCAACTTTTTTTAGGTTATGAAGGTTCGTAAAGAATCATTTGAAGAACTGAAGAAAGTCTTACAGTAACACAATGTGAAACTTATCAAACAGACAAAAGGAACAAGTTCATCACACTTTTACTTCTAATATCCCCTAGTGTTTTCACCCAGTTTCTCCTACCTGAGTGTCGATTTCATCCCTAATATGACATTAGATTACCGATTCCCTATTGAACGGATCGATAAGTGATATTGTTATTTAATTTATTTTCGTATATGGCAACTAAATTACTTAGTACAAAACTATTGTGCTTTCCTATTGAATTTGTAAATATTGTGAACTGTGTGATTGTCGAGCAGCTTCATAGAATGTATCATGGCCTATTTTTAGACCGATTTTGAAGTATTCATAAGTGCTGTCAAAGTGATCCTTCGTTTGACATTACTTGTTTTCGATTTTAACGTTTTTTAACATGCGTAATTTTATTCTACCTGAGCTTGCTTACGTCTCTTGTGAGCAAGGCCCTGAGGTATTGTATAATATTGTGGAGCACCATTTTTTCGGTTAATTTTATTGTAACTATTCCGAATGGTGCTCGTAATTCTGCTTTAACATTTATTATTAGCAAGTATTTTATAAGTAAATCATTGTTTTTTATTCATGTTATATTTAAAAATATATTTTATTAGGATTACCTTTGTGGTTTCATTTATCCTGTTGTTGGGCTCTGTACATTGGCGTAAGTAACTAGGATGAAGTTCCAGCCCGCATTAGTCTTTGGAGAATAGAATACCTCTTAGTAACCTGTTGGTGGGCTGTGTCCTAATCACATTATCAATATTATTTCTGCCAAACAATCATTCAATAAGGACTATAGGTACAAATACCATCGAAAATAGAAATTTTTTATTTAATGGGACACGAAAAGTGTAGCTAACAAATTAATTCAATGTGAAGATTTATTTTATTTCCTTATAGCTTTTTAAAAGTATAGCTTTGTGATAGTAACCATTGATTTATTTTATTTGTCTAGGAGGGGGCTAAACCCACCCTAGACCCCTCTAGTTCCGGCAATGGCTTTGTATAAAATCAACCCAAAAAACTATTTCAAGTTATAGATTTGGTATAAAACATTAATGTAATATAGTGACAGTGCATACATATAGTGTTGAAATGAAAAAAATGTTGGCCTATACACGTGAAAAAGACAAGTCCAAATACAGAGATCATATCTGTGACACAGTTGCTCAAGAACAATCCAATGATACCAATGAAACGCCATGGGACCGAGCGGAGCAAGGAAAATCTCAACAAAATTCGCCTGACAGATTTCGATTCTAGCACCATCTATCAACAAGTGTACAAAGTTGAAGCAATATCATTTCTCTCGTCGAGAATTATTGACACAACAAAGGCGAATCTGTAAAACACCAGGGTTTCTGAGTATCTTTGTCAGGCCCAAAAACCCGCAGACGAAGAATAACATCAAATATTCGTCTCATTATTTTGTTGCATCGTATGTTTTTGTCATTTTTCTGCACATAAATGAAAGCAGAAAAGATGGTTTGCTCAATCTACATAATATGTGGACCATTGGCTTTTCCAACAGTATCAACTTAGATGGTGATATGCCTAAAGCGTTTTGCGGTGAAATTGGTATACTGAGACAAATTTGTAAGCCGCACAGAAAATCTGCAAAAACGAGAAGAAAGCGCGAATATATTAAAAATTCACAGATTTTTCATACCTTGTGCCCTGTTTGCAGCAGTGGCACCATCTATACTCTTATATTTAAAGCTTCAGAACGCAGATATAGAGATCTGCGAATGAGCTACACGCGTTCAAAAAGCTTCAGATATTTACTACGAGAGGACTCTAGATATACTTTTTATTCATTAATTGTTTTATATCGGTCCCATGCATTTTGCATCAAATCTTTGTATGTAGACTATCCATTAAACTGTTGTTTGAATAGTCTCATTCCTTTTCAAGTAACGACTGGACGGTAGAGGAAAGATTCATAAGTTAAATTTTAGTTCCACCTTTGCACACCGTTTCCACACCAAATTCGACTGATTATTCGAGTTTTAGCTATTGTGTGATAGATGGCTGAAAGAAGATATTTTCTTTGTTACGTTCCGAAAATCATTTGAAAAAATGGCACTTTGATGAAGTCTTATCAGTTCAAAGCTGGTGAAGAAAGAAATTGTCTGATTGTATTGCGATCATAGCGGTGAATTAACCGCTGAAAAAAGGAACTAACGTATATATTGATCCATTCGAAACGTTAGCCCATTTTTATCGATTGAAGCAATACATCGGAACATTGTTGAATTTGAGAACTCTTCTAGTTTAAATGTTTTGATAGATGACAGAATCGACTGTCAAACTGACAGGTGACTGTCATTTTGACTTAACAGGTGACAGTTGATAGAAGTTTACTCATTGGATAGGATTAATGTTTTTATAATAAACGAATAAGCTGTTAAGCTGAATATATTGAAACTGATAACTCTTCTAGGAAGTTGAAAAGACCATGAGGCAATAGATTATCAAAAATGCATTCAAATACCATTCAAAACAATTCAGACCTACCACCGGAGCTCTGTGCGAAACCTCTAGCCCTTGTGGGTGTTAGTGGTTTGGATGTTGTAAAAAATCCAATCCACAAAGCTATCTGGGAAACTTTTAGCAGCAACAGGCGTTTGGAAAGAACACCTGTACTGTTTAAGTTGATGAGCAATTCGCATGAATTCCCCGTAATCAAACCTCGAAGAAACTCCTATGACTGGTACATTCCCAAAGGCATTCTCAAAAAGAACTGGATGAGTAAACATTTGTATGAGGTGCCTGCTGTTGTTGTGATATTTTTTGATTTGGATTGGAACGATCCACAGTGGAATGAAAAAATGATTGAATGTGCTTCGAGAGTACAATCTATGAGGTAAATAGAATAAATATACTAATGTTTACATTCTCTTCCAATGCAAGAGCAAGGTAAATTTCTGAACTACCTGTTTGACAATCACTGACCAATCAGACAGCTTTTGCAGAAGTGAGATTCCAAAAGAATCCATCCTCGGAACAGTGCAACATTGTTATTGTTAGAGTTCTAATTTTTTTATTTATACTGATGAATTTTTGTTTACATATATTAATTTTAATATTTATTCAGCTTGACATGTTCCACACCCTATGACTGTAATGAATTTTTGTACAAAAGGAACCAATAGACCACTCACTTCATAGATTCAATGGATGTCTTGAATTTAGTGGGAAAAAATTAATATTTTTATCAATGATACATCCTTCATATTCAGTTTATAAGAAATGTCTTGTTATGGAACTTCTTAAGATACATGTAATTTCCTTTGGTTTATTGAAAACTGCGCTATTTGATATCTCTTTGTGGAGCAGTATAAAATTCTCTACTCAATAAACCAATTTTATTTCTTGTAGAGCTTCTTTGGAAGGGCACAGCACTCGACTAACAGTGGTTCTGATCCAAAACACTGTCCCGCTGCCTGCCGGAGAGGATTCCCTCTCGGCAGAACGTGCCCTAGCGTTGTCTTCCAGTTGTGACTTGAACTCTCAGTACTTGTTTGTTTTGCCTCACGGAGACCATCTTCAAGGATATGCTATAAGACTGGAATCTGCATTTTTCGAACTGGCTCAGATCTACTATCACAACGAAGGGAAACACATAAAGTCCCATAAAGAACATTTGAATAAGAACACCCACCAGTATTTGTTCGTGAGGCATCAGTTCAAGATGGGGTTTATGTACGAGATGAAGCAAGATGCACATTCTGCTCACAAGTGAGTTATAAAACTATGATTTATTGATTTTTCTTGGTGATATATTCAAAAATAGACATTTCTCAACATTGTTCCTTCATGTCAAAATATATATTTACTTTTTTTCATTAGTACTAGAATATCCTCATAAATTGCACTAAATACAATTACGTGTACTACGGGGTTCTCACCTTGAAAACTAATGAATCATCTGAAAATACAATTATCAACAGAGGACTGTCATTTTTTTACTTTTAACTGAGTTGTTTTTGAGAATGACTCTGTATAAGTGCCACTGCAAAAATATAAAATTCTTGATTGCCACTTTTCATATGTCGATTTATACATTTGATATATCAATTGACACATTTAATCTGTCATTTGGCACATTTGATCTGGCATGCGACACATAATAGACCAATTGACACATTTAAACTGGCAATAGACACATTTAACATGTCAATCGACACATTTGATCCGGCAATTGACACATTCAAGCCGTCAATTGTCACATTAATTGTCAATTGACATATTCCATCTTTCAGTCAACACATTTGTTCTATTAATGAACACAATCAATCTCTCAATCGACACATTTAATCTGTCAATTGTCACATTGAATCTGGTAATTAACATAATATACCAATTGACACATTTAAGGTGGCAATTGACACATTCAATCAGTCAATTGCCACAATTAATCCGGCAATTGACATATTTAATATATCAAGTGACACATTCAAACTGACAATTGACACATCTAACCTATCAATAGACACTAAGCTGTCAATCGACACACTCAACCTGTCAATTGATACATTCGGTCTACCAATGGACACATTTAATCTGTCAATCGACACATTCAACCTAACAACTGACACATTTGAGCTGGCAATTGACACATATAATAGGTCAATCAACACATTTAAACTGGAAATTGACAAATTTGATCTGTCAGTTGTCACATTAATCCTTGCAATTGACGCATTGAATTTTTTAATTGGCACCTTAAAACTAGCAATAGTCACATTTGATCTATCAATGGAAAAATTCAATATGTCAATCGACACATTTAATCTGTCATTTGACACATTCAATATATGAATTGACATATTTAAGCTCGCAATTACAATAAATCAATTGCCACATTAAAACTGGCAATTGATTAATGTAACCTGTCAATTGATACATTTAATATGTCAATGACTACATTTGATCTGACAAATGACACATTTAATCTGTCAATGGATACATTTCATGTGTCATTTCACAGGATTTTCAATTTTTGCAGTGGTACTCGTGCCGTCGCACTGGAGAAAATTTTCAAAATGCAAATAATTTTTCACCACCAACTTATCAACAATTCATTTTTTGACATCAAGAGTTCTTTTCCAGACACTACACACACGCATATAATAGCCTTCTTGAAATCAGAATAGTAGACACAAATGCTCTGGAAATTCGAACCGTCGCTGGTTTCATCAATTACAAACTGTGCAGGCTACTTTTCGCTCTAAATCTCCCGAGAGATGCAATTTCCCAGTTCAAAGCCCACATCGACCGGTTCAAGGCTAGGATGGGATTCCAAGAATTGGCGTTTGAACACTATGCTTGGTTATCCAAACAGTACGTTGATTTGGTACGATTGTCAAGTGAGTTTGGTAATGAGTGTGTTTCAGATATTCAGTCTTTGGCGATATTTTTGACGAGGCTGTGAAGCAGGGCCTTCCTGCTGTTCAGACTCAACATCCGGGTTTATATTATCAACAAGCTGCTCAGTATGCTATCCAGAGGAAAAAATCCTGCCAAGAACTTTGTTCTGTAAGTTTTATGATTTGTTGAATTGTAAGATATCCTGTATTTTTGTGTAAAATTTAGTACCGTCACAAAATTTCATTTGTGATCGCCATACCAATCTGTCTCGCTATACAATAGTTTTTTCAAACATGTCCATAATGTAAACTTAGCATTTATTTGAAAATTTCATAATAGAGTTTTTGATACTTCATTTATAAAATGCCAACCTCAATGCCAATGTATTCTCATCACTCATACAGGCCGTCATAGCTTACCCACACCCAGACCCTTTGGAGGGTTGGAACCATATGGAATTCTATGGTCAGAGACCTTGGAGACCCGGTAAAATGTCAGGGGACGTCCCTGATCCTCAACTAGAATCCAACGGCATCCAAGCTTTGCAATTTTTGGAGAAGCATCTGAATCATTCAGTAATATTATCAACAAGTTGTTTAAATACTTCCAACTCAATTCTCTTCTGCATTTTAGAGCTTGATAATAGCCTTATACGGACTGGCCATCACCCAGTTCAAAACATACAGATGTCCAAGGACGAGGCGACACTTGGTACTGCAAATGGCCGACGAATACTATGATTCCAAAGACTACGGAAAGGCACTGACGTAATGCTCTCCGTTATTTTTGGTGTCATGATAATGTTTAAAGTGTTTCAGGTTGTACACGCATATGCTCTGGGACTTTCGAATCGAAAAATGGTGGGGAATCCTGTCTCAAATTTTAGAAAAAGCTATCAGATGTGCATACTTGACCGCAAATATTCAAGACTACGTGTTATTGGCTATAGAGTTGCTAGGATCAAACGTGCTCATCAGTCTGGATGAGAAACGGAGGATTTATGAAAACCTAGTGAGAATATTGAAGGTAAAAAATATTACAAGTAATTGAATTTGGACATTCATGTATCTGTCTATTGTATACATCTGTCTATCGGATGAACAACATCAGATAATGTTTTAATGTGAATATAATTCCCAATTACATTCACATTTGGGAGTGACATATCAATTATTCTTTTCATTAGATATTGTCATGAATATTTTTTCAGAAACAAATACCTTTTGGTGATTCCAAACTTCCGCAAGACGTCTTACAAAATGCCATTATACTGTGGCAGCCCGTATTTTCAGAAAAACCCTTGAGCTTTTCCCTCGATATGGCTAATATCGTTTCTTGCATTGCAACCAAGGCGAGGTTTTTAAAAAACAGTTACGAAGTAGATCAAAACGTATCTGTAGAAATTTATGTCAAGTGAGTACGTATTTATGTTCTGGAGTACATTTCTTTCATAGAAAAGGTCTGTAAATTTCACCAAATTGAATAGAGGGCAAAAGAATAGAGTCTTAGTAACAGTATTTCTTTCAACTATGTTTCAGATTATAGCAATAAATTGAACATTTTTTAGGAGCACCTGCCCTTTCCCATTGGCGTTTTCAAAAGTATCTGTCACTATTAACACGCAGGGTTATACCTCAGAATTTGCTGTAACAAATCTGGAAGGGGTTTTCATCAGTTTTCATAAGGACGAAGTGAAAAAATTTGTTGTAGAATTCATGGCAGATTCAAGTGATATCAATAAAGAAATCCAGGTAAGATTTGCAGTGAGTTTATATGACCCTTAAAATCTTTTTTGGAACCGATTCGTGAAAGAGAAAGGAATCTTAAAAATGAAAGGCAATAATTCCTCTTCTCATCAATATCTAGAAAACATTCTCACATAATTTTTTTGTCTATCAAACTCTAATATTCATTTGATATTAACATGTATACATAAACAATAACCTAATTTCTTTCAGGTAAACAGAAATTCAATTTAGGAAATATTTCATATTTAACCTCAAAATTCAAACTTATAGCAATTCTGTATTTTGTCCAGGAAATGGTTACTTTTAAAACCCCATGAATCAACTTTAAAATATAAACTTACCCCCACAAAGAACCTTCAATTGATTTTGTATTTCGTGCTCACTATCAACTGTCAACTATGTATTCTTCTTCTCTTTTTTTATAGTATTTGCTTTCCTCACGGCGCAGTAGGCCGGTGTCAACTATGTATTAATTATGTAACTGTCGCTTTGTTGACTTGCTTATGAAACCAACATGTAAAACATGTTGGTACTGGACTTCACCATGAAAGCAACATTCGAGTTGAGCTGCTCCTAACCTCAATTCCTTATTTGCAGATTGCATCCATAAATCTAGTCCTCGGCAGCCCCAACGAGTTCAGTTTAGACTTGAAATACTCCCCCGAAGCTGACACGAACGCCAATCATTTAGAGTTGTCGCATTTCAAATATAACCCTGACATGTTAAACTTCGATAACATCCATCCACTGTCACAAGCTGCAGTAGTTCCGAGAGAGTCGAAATTGAAAGTCGAATTCGACCATCAAGATCCAGCTCTGCTGGGAGAGTGGTATGAGATCCAGACCAATGTTTTTAATAAAGAAATTCATGCCATCAGAGATATAAAAGTTGAAGTCAGAATGGAGGAGGATATTCCAGAAGGTGGGTGGAATAATTGATAACAGAAATAATTCACTTACTATGGATTCAATTAATCTATATAAATTGACCTTCGAGAAGACATTTCACACTCTTCTCACAATGTTTTATGGAAATTTCTATGTAGTATCTAGACAGTTTGAACAGACATATCACTGTCAAGCTAAAATGAGAAAGTGCTGAGAAATGACAGATAACATAACCATAGCTTTTTTATGAAGAATAAGATTGACTTTGTCTAACAGCAGTCGACTTGCATCAGCATAAAAACTAGGAAATAACAACTGTCCTATCGGCTGTGAAACACTCCAAATGAAAATAAATATCAATTTGGCGTAAATGTAACAATTTGGTTCAAAATATATCATTGAAAATTTTTTTGATTCTCTATAGAAAATAATTCATATAAATATTGACCTTCAAGAAGACATTTGACACTTTTCTCACAATGTTTTATCGAAATTCCTATGAAATTTTGACAGAAATAATATATGAACATAAATTTTCCTTGTCAAGAGTAAAGTAGACCTTGTCTAGGGTCTAAAGACAGCAGTCGACTTGCATAAACACATCAGCATGACGAATCATTAAGAATTAAATTATCTGATTATATTGATACTACTTATAATAAAAACCAAGGAATACAACTAACGCTGTACTATCAGTTACTCTTCATTAAATTTTCAACCTATTTTCGTTTCATATATCGAATTGATGACGACTCGATTTTGGGATAAAAATTTTATTTTCTCTTTCATAGATTTCAAATCATATTATATCATATTAGACAATGGAATCCCGAACTAATAAAATTCACCACGAAACATTGTCAACCACTTTCAAACAAAAACTTTCAGGTTATCAAAAAGTTTAAAAATTAACTATAATATAATAATAATTTCTTTCTTCCAGTTGAACTATCTTTAAAACCGATCCCGCAACATGCGAAGCAACCTACGTTGTTGGTGAACTCCGAATCGCTGAATCCAGAAGAAAAATTTGCTTGTCGGTTTTTCATCAGATCGAACCTGATCTGTAAATTCGCCGTTCAGGTTATTTTCATCTACACCTTGGACGGGGACAAGTCAGTGCTTAGTACAAAGACCGAAAAGCTGTTAATAACTGTCGTAGAACCTTTTGAACTAACCTCAAAGTTTTTATCCTTGTTGATGAACGATATTGACAGGTTTTACGCCGAGGAGGAATTCGGCATAATGAAGTATTTGAGGTTCACTTCTCCCTGGCCAATTATCGTAGAAGACACTTCTTTCAGCTATGTGAGTCATGATTCAAGTGTTCATGAGTGTAACAAAAGATTATAGTGATGGGATTTTTGTGTTTCAGACGGCTCCTTTTGTTTCTACAGAAAGGGAATACGTCAGTCAATTGGCGAATAAGATGTTCCACTCTGATGAAATTGGGGCTGAGCTGCATTTGGCCATGTGCGAAAAAAAGTCAGACGCGAACTTGAATATTGGAAAGTATTCTGTCAGATGGAAAAGGTAATTATAATTTTCGGCCAGAAATGGGCCTTTTCTCGTCTTTTCAAACTATTTGTGAAATGATTGGCTGTATCGAAAGTTGTTGTGTGGAGAAGTTGTGTACAAAATTATGCTGATTCGTCTTTTTTATTTTGACGAATTCAAAAGAGCTTGTTATTCCTGATTTTCATAAAATAAGATTCTGATACCAAAAACAGATGTCATTTGCGATATAATTCAGCGTGCCATTTATTCGACCTAACCTCATTTTTAGGCTAAAATCTGCCTTTTTCTAAAATTCTCATCCCAAACATTATTCGTGAACCAGTCTAGGGCCGAGAAATGAACAAAAACGTGTTTTTCAACTTGCTTTTATCAACTTTTGTGAAGACTAAAACTCGTTTTCAAAGTTACTTCATATTTTTCATGACTACATAGATTAAGAGGTCGAAAGATTGTTCATAACGACACTTTCAAAATTCTCAATTTCCCGATTTATTACTTGTAGACAAAATGGGCACAGTACAGTCACCGCTCTACCTATAGCAGGCCTTATATGTGACTGGATACCCATAGGTTTAAAAATGGTCGCCCCTTCGTATGGTTTTCTTAGGACGCCAATGATATTGAGCTATCATGTACAAAATAGATCTCAGGAACTGGTGCATCTAGAACTAGCCATGGAGGCTAGCGAGGCCTTTATGTTTTCAGGATACAAACAAGTAAGTTGTTGTTAACACACATAGGTTATTATTTTCTTCAACATCATCATGGTGCCTAAAGTAGCGGACATTTCAAAATTTACCTTTTGGTTCTCACCGTGCTCTTTGAAACATGTTAATGGAGTTCATTCTGTTTGTCCTATAAATGTATTCAACTATTTACTGGATGAGAGATCGTTATTTGTAATGAGAGAACTTGTATATATCACCTGAACTGTCACCTTCTTATATATCTCATGGAAATATTGTTTTACAGTTTTCAGTTTCTGTTTTACCAAATTCGACTAGAACTCTTCAGTACAACTTGAATCCATTGATAGCTGGCAACGTGGCCTTGCCTAAATTCTCTCTTAAGAGTACTGAAAATGGAGATGAGATTGAAGAATGCTTTGTTCAACACGATGAGATGGATTCGTTGACAAAACGGACCTTGCCCACACATATTTATGTAATGGTGAGTCTTGGTTTGACGATCAAACATGAAAGTTGAAAGCAGGATTGAAGAATATGACAATTTTTTTTTTGGTATGGTGAAATTATTTCAATTTCATTCATGTTAATTCCTATATCAGTTAATGATTCGTCTACCGTCAAAATACTTTTATTATTATGATTATGAAAATGAAAATTGAATACAATCCTATGAAGTTGTCTCTAAGGCAATTCTGGTTTTATTAATTTAGAGAATTAATCTAAAATTAAGCAAACAAAATATAGTAGCCATTATAAATTCCATATATTAACAATTCTTTGGTGGATTATTTGAATAAAATGTTTCATTTTACCAGTAATTGCTTCTGTTTCAGCCTCAAGTCAAAGGTAACCCGAAGTCGACAGCTTCGTTTATACAGGGAACTCTAACAGAAGCGAATTAGATGAAATTTTTAATTTTGTAAATATTTTTGTTTTCTATTTTTGAAATATATATATATTTATATGTTGACTTGTTTTTATTCTCGGATATCCATCTTTCAGCCTCCATAGGAAAAGAAGTTCCTACAATCGTACTCTTTGAGTTTTTTGTTCAGCAAATGAGTCTATGGCCTTGTTTTTCATAATTCAACTCATGCGCAAGTCGATTTTCTATCGCTAAGAATACAAGACTCGATAATCGTTCCCGTATCATTAGTTTTAGTTTCCTAAAACTTCACTCACAACTTGTGGATGTAGTAGTAAGCGCAGAGTAAATTCGCAAGGCAATAAAAGTATTAGGAAAAGCATCCTGCAAAACATGCGCATAGACCTGTTGCAAGAGATAGAAACCGTTAGCATTTTCTTCCAGGCAGAATTCAACGGTACTTAGATCACGCTAGTTTCGAGCCAGATCTGCTCCATACTTTTGCAATTCTTCAATTGACATTTTCAAAATATTAGTACCATTAAGAAAAGCAAAATTCAGCATGGTACCACATTCGAACCTCTTTGTAATTTCTGATATGATTCGTTCAAATAACATCATTATTTCTTTAGAAAATAGTTGAACCGGTTGGAGCCTCTATTATCCAATATTCCATTGGATTTTGTCTCATTTTCTGCAAGGTTTTGAGCAGACAATCCATTAGTGTGATGGAATGGGCAAGGATAATATCTTCTTTCTGAATTTCTATATTTACTCGATTGATTTCGCGGAGAATATTTGCCCAAATAGTAAAGAGATGGCTTGCCTCGTACTTAGCTTCTGGAGCATGAGAAGTTTGCTTAATTTCTTCTAAGGTTTCCGCTACTTCTGGCAAATTATTCAAATAGGGCTTCACAGCAACATATTTCGCCGACCATCTCGTGTGACTACTTTCTTTTAAATTAGTTTTAACATATTTTTTCGTAATGTCCCACCTAGTAGTAGAGCCAACAAAAAAAGCAAATTAGTTTTTGAATCAGTCCGAATAGGCTATTAACTTCTTGGCATAATGAGGTAGAATGAACACCTACAAGATTCAAAGAGCGAGCCAAGCGCGGTACGATCTTGGCCAGCTAATTCCTTTCTGCAGTCCTAGCTTGTACTCCTTAACAGATGCCGGCCATATTGAACCCATTATCATAAGATTGGCCACGACATTGTCCAGTATCCAATATCATCACAAATTCAAAAGGAGGGAGCTGCATAGTTCTAGTTGATCATTGAGGGTTTTGAAATTGGGGTTTATTTCCAATACTTCTAACAAATTCATCTTCCTTTCTTTATTGCACGTATGGAGAAATTATGAGTTGTCCATTCGTCTGTAAAGTGTGATTTTGGCCGACCTGGGCCACCGGCTTGCCCCCCCTAGACTTGGGCCTGAAGTTTGGTGAAGATTGTATCTTATTTCAAAACCTAAGGACTCGAAAGAAACAAAGGCGACGTCTTCCCCCAAGGTAACGCCATCTATGGGATTCTCGAATATCAAAGATAAAACAGGCTTCAAAAGCGGTCATTTGGAAAGCTAAGCTTCAACACAGACCGCCGACAAGATTCGTCCTTTATCTTTCACTGCAAGGTAACAGGTTGAAATACAGAGCCCAATCAATGCATTTGTGTTTCCACACTAGTTTAGATCCGCCATTGTTGGGCCCAATTGTCCTTGAAGAACAAGCCTGAGAAGACAAGGGCAACGCCTCCTACGCCATTTATGGTTCGATCCCGTAGATGAAGATGATCTATGGCGGGTCGAAACAATGTTGGATCGCAAACGCTTTGTGTTTTGGGCTCTTTATTTCTATTAAGAACACGTTATATGATACTCAATGAAACTTGTTACCACTCTTATGTTAGGAACTAGAAAGGCAAAATTAATGATTACCCTCGTGCTTTTCAGCGTTATGTTGGTGGTAGAATGAAATATAATAATTTTCTCAATAGTATCTTTCTTGGAAATATAACTTCATTTGTTCATTATTTTGTGTTTGTCTATACATTGTGTTTTCATTCATCTGATAAATTACTTATTCAATTTGTTTCATTACGTGCTTTGTCATTGAAATTATTTCTTCTTACAATAAAGTACATTTATCTGCCCGAAGGATGAACTGGTCGGACCTTGTTCTCGAAGTCCCAATACATGCAGAAGGGCGCGTTAGACTCATCAACCAATGGCAACTCTCTACACCAAGATATAAGTGATCATTGAGTCCTAGAATCATGTGCCCTAAGGTGACCAGTTAGCCCAGAATGACAACTTACTGCATTGGTCCGGCCAATTTTTCTGTCGGCATGATACTGAGATTTGAGTAGACATCTTTTCAATAATCGGAGCAACCAACTTGCAAGGGTGGTTAGAGTTTGCGGATTTCGAAAAGACAATCTCCATATTTCATCCATTTCTCCTCTTCCCTTCGGATGATATTCGTCTCACCCGGAGCTGAACACTCCATGAAGAATATATCGTGTTGCTGATATGGCTGGCCTTGATAAACCCCTCAGTTTCCAACATAAGCTCACTTGAGCTGAGGAAAGCTAAGGTCAGGAGCTTTGATAAGCCAAATAATGTTGCGGCCTTTATGTGGGCCTTTTGCTAAACTCGGTGACAGAGTTGTGATCACCTCGTTCAGTGTCGAAAACTAAACCGAGTTCATCAGTCGCTCGGGCAGCCACCTTAAAGAGAAATGCTCAAATTCCTGCTCTTTCATGGTTGGGTACCATTCAGAAGGGGATCCGAACTCCTGATGACTTTACATGCTCCATCCAGTACCATTCTGTCATGTAGACACTTCAAACTCGAAGGTTATTTTTATATTTTTCCGCGTTAGCATCACCAACCAAACGATCGCTCCCCACCCCGTGGGGAGTGAATGACAGCCTTCTGAATTTGTCCGGCCAAGATTTTTGCCTTGATGCGGTGAGCTGACATTGAGATTCGACAGTAGAGAGAGCATCATCCCATCAAGGACTCCATACTCAGATCGACCATCTTAACAAAATCGCTGGGTAGACTCTGCATAGTTCGGAGAGAAAACTACTGTTCCTTTTGAGGTAACGAAGAACTACCGACTTCTACGCGCTTACTTCCATATTAAAGAGCGTAAAAGTCGCCGTTTAAGCGAGCTTGTGCAAAAACAACTATTGTTATTTGAAAAAATAACGATCCTTCGAATAAAAAAATATAGAGCCTTGAATTTTTCCACAACAGTCACTTAATTTTAACAGCGTTACGCTTGAAAATTTTTATGGAAAGCCAACGATGTCGGCAGTGTGGTAACATCTCATTATTTTCTTTCTCGTCGTCATTACGCAGGACTTTATTAATATCGTAAAGTTCGTAAATTATTTTTAAAACCGTATTTTCGGGAGATGTTTTTTAGTATACATCATTGAAACGCTGGTTGTGTGCCAACTATTCTGGGACGGAAAGTTATAGGGGTATAGTACAACGGAAAGCTTTCTTCAGATTTCTGATTATTAACATCTACCTTGATGAATTCTTTCGATTCAAGTGGATGTATGAAGGACTGCACTTCATTGAGTTTTGGTACTTCAGTCTAACAACACAGCAAATATTCGTATGGTAACTGAGAATATTATGTTATACCTACATAGGGCAGTCCGTAATATTTTTTCGCATAGATGTGTGGAACACATGGAAGAGAAATCTCATCATATAATAATGATAATAATAATATTTATTCATCTATGTTGCATACAAAATAGAATTAACATCTTGAAGATAATGATGAATAAATTGCAAATCCACTGAGGGTTTAACCCTGTGTGTGGTTAAATTAACAAATAAAAAAATTAAATAACACAATCACAATTACTCACGCAAAAAAATTTGTTGTAATAGCTAAAAATGAAATATAATAAAATATCAATGTCATTCCCGCATTGATACACAAAATAAAAGGTTACAAAAATATGTCTTCATTCTTTATGGAAACTTCCAGATCTTATGTTGCGACTCGAACAAAGCTTTTGATACTGTCGATTATGAAATTATATTGTAGAAACTCGCACTATATAGCACTTTATTTACATATCTTGCATTTAGATATATATGCAGGTAATATATTTTAATATATGATAACGGTTTTGTAATTTCTTATTTATGATGAGTAAAAAGTAAAACGATTGATTGACTGATCAGAAGAAAAAGAAATGAGAGAGGTATTATATATTAGTCATATGAACTTTACACAATGTAATATATGAGAGAACATCCCCAATAGTGGACTTCAAAGTGGGAAATTTGGGAAATACTCTATCAAAAAACATCTCTACATTTAGAAAACTGAAAAAAGTAAGAATTCTGAGGATCGCGTTATCCATATTTCGAAGAAATAGGATATTGATTCACTGTAATTGGTTTTTACTTTTATAAATATAATTTTTATCGGGAACTTCGTGGAGGCAGCGTTTTTACTCAGTTATTCATGAACGTGTAAAAATAAATTGAAATAGGAAGTATGGCGTCAATTAACTCTAATCACGTTGAGTGGAGAAACTAGGATATAGGATAATTTTTTTGACACAGGCATATCAGAGGAAGTGAAATAAAGTTTTTAAAAAGAATATAAGTAAGAGTTATTTCACTGGAACTCACAAGGAAGTCAAGTTTTCATGACCTTTTCCTTCAGGAATTCATTTCTAACTAGGATACCAAACAGTTGTTGGACTACAGTAGAGATGAACTACGATGTCTAATAGGCCTTCTTACAGGTCACTGTCATTTGAATCATCATACATATGCAGAAACTCGGACTGTCGTGAGACTATACGTGTGTCGCTTCTGTTTGGAAAATGATGAAACAGCAGAGCATATACTTTGTGCCTGCCCCGCTGGGGACCGAATCAGGTTTTTAGATTTCGGCAGAGATGTACTCTACCATCTGACCTGGAAGACCAATCACCGTACAAACTAATGAGCTTCGTTAAGAAGCTGGGTTTATTAGGTCGAGTGTGAATAGGTGTAAGCCACAATAAACCCTTGCGGGATGCGGTGGAGGATCAAATAGACCCCACTCACTTTGAAC